TGCCATTCCTTTGTGCTGTCTACATTTTGTGCACACTTCTTACATAAAATATGCACTTTTCCATAAAATGCACTTTTCAGTGCATCATAGAATCATAGAGTTGGAAGAGACCACAAGGGCCTTCAAGTCCAACCCTCTGCCAAGCAGGAAACACCATCAGAGCACTCCTGACATATGGTTGTCAAGCCTCTGCTTGAAGACCTCCAAAGAAGGAGACTCCACCACACTCCTTGGCAGCAAATTCCACTGTCGAACAGCTCTTACTGTCAGGAAGTTCTTCCTAATGTTTAGGTGGAATCTTCTTTCTTGTAGTTTGGATCCATTGCTCCGTGTCCGCTTCTCTGGAGCAGCAGAAAACAACCTTTCTCCCTCCTCTATGTGACATCCTTTTATATCAGTAAGATGCACATTTGCGTATGTAAAAAAAGGGGGATTTTTGCAAATACTTTGCCAAATCTGGAGGTGGTTGCAGAAGAGTCACTGCTGGCAAAAGCAGGCTCGAGGTACCTTTTCCATCTCTCAGGGAATTTAACTTTCACTCATATAAATGTTTGCCCTTCACTTCTCTGTGGAAATGCACTTGGGGACACTTCTCCAAGTGGGGGGGGGGCAAAATTCCCCCACCCCTTCTGACACTTGAGTGACCCAACTCCCTGACAACGACCCTGCAGGGATGCACGGAAACGCACTGGGGCCTCACTTGTGAGAGTAGTTGCAGAATACAGTCCCCGCCATCCACACCAGCAACGTGGGGTGGACATTTTTAATTTTCCTCTCCAGAAAATGCCCCATTTTGTTAGTTTGTTGGCAACAACGAACGAATGCCAATTGCAAAGATGGTATTAGGCACGCTTGGCAGTCTCAACGTTTTAGCAGTGTTTACGAAATAAAACTAAAATAAATGCACTAAATTAGATTGCTCTCCAGGATAGAGCAGGGGATGTTTTTCCATCTTGAGGGAGGCATTCCCTCCTGCGCAATCTTTAAGGGGCCACATGACAGGGTGGGAGGAGCCAGAGGCAAAAGGATAGAATGAATGCAATGCACGCAAATTTTACTTTTGTGCAGTAGGCTAGTTTACTCTCTCTCTCTCTCTTCTCCATGCCAGTCCTGACTAGTTCAGAGGCCAAAATCTGCTTTGTGTCCTCACAGCATAATGCGCTTGTTAAATTGTTTGCTCCCTGCCACACTCGCTCCAGGTATCACAGCCGACGGCTGCATTGCGCTTCTTTCAAACAGGTAAATGCCTAATTACACAGAGACTACAATTCTGTGGCAATCCTTTGTCCACATGCCTCAGTGAATAAAACAATTGTGCAGCTCGGAGGCAAAGGAAGGAGCACTTTGCTAATTAGCGCACTTAATCTCTGCGCACAGATAATGGTTTTCTGCCACGTCCCATCAGGGCAGGAAGTGGGTTTCGCGACTCCAAAGTGGCAAACAAATGACATTCTGTCAGCTTTCGAACGATAAACACAAAGCGGCTGGTGAGGGTTGCAGGAACAAACAGGGAGCAAACCGAGCGTGGTCTGGAGTCGTCTAATCTCTGCCCTTGGCAGTTAAAAGGCAACATCAAACCACCTGAGAAACCAATTCGTAGCAAGCTTAAGCATGCTGCATAAATTTACTAAAAGTTGGTGTTTGCAGGCGTGGTCTGAGTGCTATTCTTATTGAATGATTTGAGACAGGGGGGAAATAGGTACCTCTTCACACAAGGCCCTGCAGCATTTGAATCATAGAATTGTAGATCACATTCATCCAGTGCTTTACCAGCTGCACTGGCTCCCGGTGGAGTACAGGGTCAGGTTTAAGGTGCTGGTTTGGACCTTTAAAGCCCTATGCGGCCTAGGACCCACATACCTACAGGACCGCCTCTCCTGGTATGCCCCATGGAGGACCTTAAGGTCCACAAATGACAACATTTTGGAGGTCCCAGGTCGCAAGATGGTTAGATTGGTTGCAACTAGGGCCAGAGCCTTTTCAGTACTGGCCCCGACTTGGTGGAACGCTCTGTCACAAGAGACTAGGGCCCTGCGGGACTTGACATCTTTCTGCAGGGCCTGCAAGACAGAGCTGTTCTGCCTGGCCTTTGGTTTGGACTCAGTCTGACCCTTATGTTTTCCCTCCCCTTATGGTTTTGATCTATGAGATATTTTTAAAATGAGGCGGCATTTTAAACTGCATTTTAACCTGTATTTTAAATTGGTTTTTTCCCCCCATTACAATTTTACTGCAACTTTACTGGTGTTAGCCACCCTGAGTCGGGCTCTGGCTGGGGAGGGCAGGATATAAATAAAAATTATATTATTATCATCATCATCATCATCATAGAATTGTAGAGTCACAGGGACCACACAGATCCAGTGTTTCCCAAACTTGGGTCTCCTGCTGTTTTTTGGACAACAACTCCTATCATTCCTAGTGGTCAGGGATGATAATTGTAGGGCAGAATTGTCACTGCTCCCTCAGTGGAGGCCGGTTACTGTGGAGGAAGTCTATACATTAATTGGGAATCTGAAGAGCGGAAAGGCGCCGGGGAAAGACTTTATCCCAGCGGAATTGATTACATCAAACCAGCACTGGTGGGCTTCTGGCAGCACTTTTTACAGTAGTAAATAACTCAGGCAAAGATTGAGAGTCTCATGCTGTTCCAGTTGAGCTATCCCCGTTGCTCCCAAAATATGTAGTGATGGCTACTAACCTGGAAGGCTTGAAAGGATAACATATGCAGAATAAGGCTATCAGTGGCTACCAGCCACAATGGTTACATTTTACTTCTACAGTAAGAGGTAGTGTGCTTCTGAATACCAGTTGCTGAGAATCGCAAGTCGGGAGAGCACTGGTGCAAAAGCAGAAAGCTGATCCTGCCTGATCCAGCAGGGCTCTTATTGTTGCACCATTATTATATTATATGTAGTGGGTGATCTTCAATCACATTTGACTCAGAACAGACCCACTGAATTTAATGAACACACCGAAGTTAGGCCCATTAATTTCAGGGGGTTTACTAATAAGGAAAACTTAGCTGAATACCACCAAGCAGAAACTACGTTTCCCATGCTTATTTTAACTAATAAATGCATTTTAGGCACACTCTCCTTCTCCACATATATTTTTGCAAACATTCCTCGACTGGAGAAAACATTCAGAAAATCTGGAATCTTGGGAGGATAGGTGCATTCCGGTTTGCGCATTTTTGGAAAGTCTAAACATGTAGTTCTGAATAGACTTCGAACTGAATTTCCCTCACGTTTGTATTGACGGTGCGGTGCTTAACAAAAATAAGCAGGAGTTATCAACAACTTTAATTCCCAAAGCAGTCATAATTTTTGTATAAACAGCAATAATGAGTGGGTGGCAAGTGAGACAGCATAGCCAAAGGAAGTAATCTGGGAGAGGTTAATGACTGAATTAACAGGGAACAGCTACTATCCATCCCCGTTGCAAAAACTAGTTAAAAGGGGTCTTTGTTCTCTTCTAACGTGTTCATAAAAAGTTGCGTTTTTACTGCAAGAGATGCAAAGAGGGTAAACACTTATCAACAAGAACCGTACGACAGACCTTGTGTGACAGCAATTATTATTTTTTTTAATGATAGGTCTAAACGAAGTCGGGCATCACTGACAGGAAAAAAGCTGACAAAAAGAAAACAGAATTAACTTAGTAGCGAGCTAAGATCACACAGAAACTACCAAGGAAAGTGAGAATTAGTTTGTATTAATATTTACAAAGATTAAAGTGATTCTTGATACTAGAGTTCTCTCACAGTACTGTTCAGTGCACTTTCTACATTTTTCTTCAAGGGTATGAGACACAGCCAATGAATCAACACATCACCAGTGGAGCACGTTTCCAAGGCAAGATGCCATAAAAGTGTAGCCAATTCTGGGGGACCGGGACTTATGGCAATGATGCCTGTTGACTAAAGGCCCACACCACTGCTATAAGCCCGTTGGGGACCCTCCATGAAGTATAAACCACAAAGTCTTTTGACACCACAAATTTATTGCGGCACAAGCTTTTGTGGACTACAGACCACTTCATGCATCTGACCATAGTTCACCAAAAGTGCTGCAATAAATTTGTTGCCCTTTAAAGTTGCCACGAGCCTCTTTTGCAGAGGACCCATTCCAGCCCTGCCTGTGCTCAGGAAGGATAGCAGCAAAAAAGGACATCTGTGGGTGAAGCCATGCCAGCTATAAGGCAATCTTGCCTTTGTGGTATTCAAAAAACTGATACCAAATCAATCTGAAGGTACTGTTCTGTGTTGATGTTCTAGGACTGTTTTCAATTTTCATACTATATCCACCATTAAGTTTTGTCTAGGAATAAGGAAGATCTCCTGGGGTTTTTCCTTCCAAGAGTACAAGATCCAGAGAGTTGAGAGCCTGAACAGCAGCACTCTTGTTTAGAGAAGAGAGGAATACTACAAGGTTTTGCTGCAGGTCCCCACTTGCTACATAACGGTCAAAGCCACGCCAGCCGCCTGATCATACAATACAGCTGGAATTTGCAGCTTTCCCACCAAGGCTGCTATCTCCACAAACCAGAAAACCTTATAGCCACAAACCTTCTCTAGCGAACAGCAACTAAAAATTGTTACAATGGAACAATACACCATTCCTCCTCTTGCTTGGCCCGGGTGAACCTAATTCATCTTTTGCAAGGGAAACACATACTTTTGTGTTTTTATTTCTACGGATTTGCTGGCCACGTTGGGAGCTTTTCTGGTTGAAGAGCAAGGTACAGATGCATTGAACAAATATAAAAGGAGAAAACAATGGAAGTAGCGAAGTAGGAAGAGCCCAAACGCGTTTCTCTCTGTTTGTTTTTCTGCATCAACATGCATTTTATTTATTTGAGATTTGTCTTCACATCAGCTCAGTTAACCTGCCGTGCTGGAGAGATAAGTGCCTCAGCCTGATGATTTTATATGGATTGAAGCAGAAGAGTACATCAAGTTCGATTCCTCTGTGTGTGTGTGTTTCTCTGTGTGTTTTTCACTGCAATTCTATCACCTGCTGCTTGTCCCTCTGGTCTTCCTCATCGTCTGTATGGCTTTCGTCATAAACTCTAAAAATAAAACATAATTAAAAGGTTCAGCTGTTTCGTTTCCAGAAATCCAAATGCAAGCAAGTTCCCGATACATAGATAAGATTAATAACAATGAAGCAAAACAGATATGTAACCAGCGGCTTGCATCCATTCAAGTGATACCCACTGAAATTGCTGGGCTTGGTAGTCATGCCCATTGACTTCCAAAGGTCTACTGTGATTATGACTTGGTTAGATTCAACCTATTATCGGTCTCGGATTGGCATAGAAGATCAGACCACCAACTGTTTCGGAAAGTGGAAATTATTTGTCCTGTTCCGTCCATTCTTTTAAAGCCTTTGCCAAATATATCCGGAATCACTGTTCACAATGTCTGTTTGCGAACTACTTTGGCAGCGTTGGACGCCTTGTTTTCACCAGATAAGAATCTGATACATTGCTTCTTTCAGAGACTTGCATAGTCTTCAAAGACTTTCAGAGACTTATATGTTTATTTGGTTTTATATTTTCAAGAGAATCTATTAAGAGTGAATATTTTGTGACTTTCAGAGATTCATAAGTTTTCTGTTTATGTGATTTCATATAGTTAATATTATATAAAGAGTGTATATTGATATTGTATCATTGTATTTGGCCATCGTGTTGCCTTGGATATTACTGACTATTGTTTGCAACACAGGGGTTAAATTGTTTGGTTATTTGCCAAATATAAAACAGGAAGTAAATCACAAAACTAAAAACAAAAGCCACTTGCAAATGTTAGGGTATAGTGCAAAAAAGGTGAGAACCTGCCCTCATAGAATCACAGAACTGTAGAATTGGAAGGGACCACAATGGTGATCTAATACAACACCCTGCAATGCAGGGATCTTTTGCAGAACGTGGGGCTAGAACCCACAACCCAGAGATTAAGAGCCTTGTGCTCTACCAACTGAGCTATATTCAGGCACTTTTGCCTACCACCTGACTTACAACCATTCCAGTCCCTGTGGAACTGAACATGCAGGATGTTGGGAACAAAATCAAAATTAGCTGGCTCTGCCTATTGTTGGTGCACATCTCTGTTGGGTACACTTGATACCCAAAGCTCAACATACCACACAATCGAAATTCCCCCCCCCCCCCGTTTTTCTAAAGAAAGTAATCTCTGCTACCTGCGCCCTCGCCACCCGACCACTAAAAGAACCATGTTGCATGTTACATGTGAAGCTTGGAGGCGATCTTACTGTTCTTATATGTCTGGCAAGAAAAAGCCCCATGGTGAGAGATAGCAGGCTTTGAAAAAGCAGAATGAGAAAGTGTCCTGAACAGGGTTCTCATTAGAAGGCTCTATTTTTTAAAAAAAGAACAAAAGCTGGCGAAAGTTAATGCTTTCAAATCTTGCATAATTAATCACTTCTCAGTGAAGAGGAGATGAGCTGATAATTGAGAAACAAGCCATATTAGCAGATAATTAGGAAAAATAAATTAACCTAGATGAGAGGGTGCAGGACTCTTCTGGCAAACCATGCAAACCTCTAGCGTTTGTAAGCAGAATTCTGATTTGATTTTGTCACATGCATCGTATGAAGGAAAGTTCGTTGTTACACGGAATGTGAAATGCTGGATTTTGGAGTTTGGTTTTTACATTTCTTTTACCCTCTTGTAAAAGTTAATGGCAAGATTAACTCACCTTATAGCATCACCTTTACTGTAGTCTTTTATTTCATGGCTATTAAGGAAATCGGGAAGATTCTGACATGCCCCCTTTGAATGTCTACTGAAGTCTCCAGAGCTTAAGTCACTGAATTCTTCCCAAGGATCTGAAATTTTGTAAGTATTTTCTTTTAGTAACAAGCAACAGAAGTACTAAGGTGCCTGAAATTCGCACAGAGCATGAGAAAGAACAGTCAGAGCCGTCAAAATGTGACATTTTGTGTATTAAAACTGGGGGAGGGGGATATACTCCAGCTCAAAATATTGCTAGAAACTCTCCAATGTAGGGCAAGTCCATAGAACTATAGTTCATAATACATAGCACCTGCCTCTGTTATTATACCCTCATGAGAGCATCCCACATTGCCGATTCAGCGCTTTAGTGCTAAACTGGAAATGCTAGCAAAGGCATCGCTCCAACTGATCCTGCAATTCTCCCTGTCTGCACTCTGCAGCACAGATTAACAGGGGTAGGCACAGCTGCTGTGCATCTTGTGGAAACTGCATGGGGGACTGAGTGTTAGAATTCCTGCTCCATGATTGCAGTCATGGGATTTTTGTCTATCACGTGACGGTGTATGTTTTGACTCCACAGAGTGGTGTGTTACTGTGTTCCGTGAAGTGGGACTATTGTCCTTTGTTCTTTTTCTCTTTGCTGTCTGATGCTAGAGAGAGAGGGAGCCATGTTGCAGTGCTCCGTGTGTGTTTATATGTAAATAAAGTAGATTAGCCAAAATGCTGAGTTGCTGAGGTCTGTTACGCAAGTGTGAAGACTCTGCGGATCCCTAAGTGTGCCGATGTCTGTTGGCATCGGTCCCTGTGATGTTCAGGCTGAAGAAAGCTTTTGAAGCTCCCAAACGATCGACCAGGAGGGAGAGAACATGCCAAGCGGACATGTGTCTCTGCCAGGGTCCTACTCGACTGTAGGACGAGCTCCTAACACTGTGCATCTGAGAGTCACCCAAAATCTGATGCAGGATGGTCATGTTTTGATTCCATTTAGACACTCAACAAGTTGTGGGCCAATGAGTTGCTCAAAACAATCCCGTCTGTGGGATTTGAATTTTGCTACAGAGACTAGAATCCCTGTCGTGAGTGTTAATGTATATTCTAGACTTGATTCTAGAGCACACCATATTTTTCATTGGAAGTAATTCACACTTTCTGCTCAAACTGAGTGATGAATGTGCAATGTATGAACTGGTCCCGGTCCAAGCTTCCACTTGCTATTTCTGCTCACTTATGCCCCATGCCTATCGCTAAACCCTCTCTACTCTTTATTATTCCAATTCATTTCTACAAGCCCCACTTTTTGCCCCTGCCTCAGGGTCCTCTAAACCCTCCACAAGCAGCCCTATGCAGACTGCTCCGATTCTTCTATAACTCCAATATGCTATGCCAGAGAAGGGGAACCTCAGGCCTGGGAATCAAATGTGGCCCCTGGATCTTTCTATCTGGCCCTTGGGACCCTCCACAGGCCACACAACCTTCTGAGCCACATCCCTCACCAGCCCTATTCTGCAATCTCCTCAAGCGCTCCTGCCAGGCTAGAAAGCATCCTTGAACTCTGATTATGTTGGTTGCTTGGCTGGCTGGAGCATAGAGGGCAAAAACTGAGCCAAAACTAACAAAAGGAATTTCAATAGGGACAAATGTAAGGTTTGACACTTATTCAGGAAGAACCAGCTGCACAAATATAAGATGGGAGACACCTGGATCTTGGGATCTTAGTAGACCACAAGCTTAACCATGAGTCAACAGCGTGATGCAGCAGCAAAATTGCTAATACTATTCTAGGCTGCATCAACAGAAGTACAGTGTCCACATCAGGGGTAGTAATAGAACTGCTCTCTTCTGCCTTCTCCAAGATGATCAAGGGTCTGGAAACCAAACCTTAGGAGGAACAGTGGAGGGAGCTGGGTATGTTTAGTTTGTGCCTGCCTGACTTCACCCAATGTTTGCCTGAGGATCAGGGAATCAGAGATGTGTTGTTGCTTATGTCCCAATATTGTGGACTTCCTTCTTTATAATCCAGAGAACATGGGAAAATGAAAAACATCCAGCTGAGCATAAACGCAGACTATACAGATAATCAAGCTACCAAAAATACATCTTTCAGAATGGGAGTTTAATGATATTGCATAATTACCCGCATTACTTTGCCATTCGTCTTCTAAATCTGCTAAGGCTTGTTGATCAGTACTGTATTCCAAGAAAGGATCATCATGTTCGGTGACATCAATGCCTTCAATTTCTGAAATTTCAGAAGCTGCTCGGGATAAAGGCCAGGTAGCTGAGCTTTCGGATCCTGTCTGAAGAACTGAAGAAGGGCGAAGTGTGGGTGTGATGGTTCTGCAAAAAGGAATATTTGCAGAAAGGGGCCTTGCAGAAGCATTTTCTGAAAATGTGAGAATGATTTGCTGTTAAAGACCTGCTACAAAAAAATTCTTTTCTAGAGATATGCATAAAAAGTCCTTCCCTATTCTAGAAAACATTAAGCATGGGTCCAAAGGGTGTTTACAAACACACTAAGCAGCACTGCATCTCCAAATCTAGAAACCTCCTCAATCTGGACAGGAATCAGGCTGAAGTAATGTTGAAGGCCCAATTATATCTAACTTTTTTTAACATGAAACCCCAAAAAATGAAAGCGTGAAAACTCATTATACTTGCACATACAGTCATGAAGTAACAGGGGCAGGAGGAAAATTAAAAGTATGTTGTTCTGTGATATGCTAAAATAGGAGTTTTCAACCGAAGTATTATTGTTTTTTGCGTATCTGCAAACTTTGTGGTCCCCCTCATCCTCTTATGTGTAGGTGGTACTGTTTTCAACCCACTAATACCAAATTCATGCTCCACACTTGGTAAAGGAGTTTACTATTAGTAAATATGACATTATCAATACATGAACTCTTGCAACCCACATTTTGATTTTTTTAATAAAACAAATATCAAAATCCCCTTTCTTGTTCAATAAAAGCCAGATACTTAACTCAGGAGTTACACAAGCACTTAAGCCCCGCCCCCAATTCGTCATTATAATTACACACACAGACACACACACACACACACACACAGCTCTCCTCCTACTCCCTTCAGTTCTTGTTCTGTGAGCTGGAAGGTGAATTTCTGAAGTAAGGAGCCTCTAATTCTCATGGAGGTGCTCTGCACATTTTGGAACCCGGGAAAATCAGGAATAGCAAAAGTGGATGTACTTCGTCCTAGTTTCACAGTGCAAGCGTGCTTTTTATGTTGGGCTCTTACCAATGGACAACTTCGACCGATAAGCTCTTGGACCTGGGCTTTGCCTTCCCAGTCTACTTGATGGTCTGCCAAGCTCTCTTTCCAAGACATCTTGCACTACAGACTCATCAGCACATTCACTTAAGCTGAACTGCCTCATCCACTGCTGAGACCCTGGAGTTGAAAAAGGTAGATGTTTAATTCCTATAATCAGAATTTTCTTCTTAAGCATTATTTGGTTGGACAGATTACACCTGCTTTTAAACGCATCCACAAGTGGCGGAGGAACCCTCTCAGGCACCCGGGGTGGGACGAACCGCCCGGTGGCGCATGCGCAGCATCCCATACGGTCACCGTGCGAGAGGCAGCCCGTACGGACACTGCGCGAGCTGCGCCCATACTGATTGTGCGTGCCCTTGGTCGCTCTACAGCTGGGGGTAGGCAGAGACCATCTTGTCAAACCCCCCCCCCGAGCGGCACCCGGAGCGGACTGCCCCCTCCGCCCCCCACTTCGTACGCCCCGGCATCCACACAGATTTACATGCACTGGGTCCTCACTCCATTCCCAGGACTTGCAGGTTATACTTTACAGGAGTTCTGCCTCTTCCTTCCCTGGTCCAGTGCCTTTAACAATAAACTGGCACACAGAAATGAAACAGATGATGTTTTCCCAACTATTTGCTTCCATGCGCAGCTAAGGCTTCACCTTCTACAATTCTGTGTGCCAAGCTGCTCTTTGAGGTCTAATTCCAGTAAATGGGACTTACACAGCACAAAGACAACAGATGGAATGAGGGGTGGGGAAGAGGGAAAAAAATGCAAGCTTCGATTGGTTTAATCGCCACCATCAGTCCACTAGATTGTTAGCTGATTGATAGCACCAGCGTCAATGAACAAGGGTGACTTTCATTCCACAAACTGTTAATTTTTAGAGGCTCTCCTGTTTTATGTAATAAAGAATGAAAAGGGGGCCTTTACTGCTGCATATGGACTTATAGTTTATTAAATTATCTCTGCTTCTTAAACATGTCAACACGCACCTATATTGAGATTTTGCAAATACGCACATTTAATTATTTGTTAATTAAGATTAGTCTGTTAAAAGGCAGGTGATCAGATCAAATTAAAAACATTTGATTGGATGAAGGTCTTTCAGATATTTTATTTATTTTATTTGCTTAATAAAATTTATGTTACCTGGTTGTAAAAAATAAAAATCACTAAGCGGTTTTCAAAAATATAAAATGAAACACTGAAATTATCAATACAAAAAGTTAAAATTAGGTATTTAAAAATATTTGAAAGATGATGAGAATAAACAGTAGCTAAAAAGAAACAAAACACATATAATTTCTCCACATCTAGACAGGTTTGCCTAAACAAAAACATTTTAAGGGCATAGTCATTAGCAGTTTCACAGAACAAGATGAGCGTTTTGAATTGTGCCTGGAGGATTAGAATGGAAACTCTGGGGCACTGGGTATAACATTGTCCTGCCATCAAACAGTGTCTCCAGCTGAAACCTATGACAAGTCTTTAAATATAAAGTGCATCGTGGCAGGCACGGTTGGTGGGAATTGTCCCTGGCCAAAGCTGAACCCTTGAGTGTAGGATCCCTCCAAGGCTGCAAGCCAGAGTGATCTGTGAAGGCTGGATCCTAACTTTCACTTCAGAAGAGTACAAGAGCAAAATACAAACACATTCTAAGAAGAGTGAAAGTAAGTCGCTTGTTAATTTTCATTTAACAATTAGCTTGTGTACTCAAGCAACTGATTTATGACTGCTAATGGCTCCTTAATAATTTCCCAAAGAGCTTAATGCACAGTTATTAAGGGAAAACAGGCCTCATCAAAGCTTTGCTTCAGAGAGGAAAATCAAGACATTTCCAGGTGACTTACATAATTGCATTTCCCACTACAAGTCTGATAAACACGGCTTTACAACTTAAAGCATGAAAGAATGACATGCTTTTGTCTCGTTGGTTTTGCTGCTACAATCTTTTCCTTGCGCCTTCTCAGTATGGCAGTTACACCAGCTTATGCCAAATGCACTTATACATGACGTCCTAGACCTGGCATATCCAGATAAGGATGCTGTGTGTACTTAAATATGCAACTGAGGCTACCATGCCCTAAAGCCAATGTGCTCAGTAAGCAACACGCATGGAAACAGGTGTTTGATTCTTCATTACTACCTGAAAATGAAATGCCACGGCTTGGCGATTGCCTGCCTGCACGTGGCAAAGGAAACGATTCCATCATAACTTGCTCACAGCTTGTAAAGAATTCCTCAAGCCCTCGATATGGGGCACAGCTAGGTTTCTCCTTCTGGGCTATTTCCTGTAACAACTGGGGAGAGAAAGAAGATTGGGAAGACAAGGCTGTTTTGAAGCCACTTGACATAAGCTTTCCCAGCAACACTGCATTTTTAAAATTTGAAATCTTCTCTGTCCTGGTGAAGAAAGAATGGTTAAACCAGGTTAGTACTAACCATGGTGCGCTGTGTTGGTACTAACCCAGGTGTACCTTTCTCAGCTAAATTAACTTGTGTCTAAGTGGGGCTGTACATGAAAACACCAACATGGCCTGACTGTCAATTTGCAAGCAAGAGCAACTGGGAGAGGCTGAAAAGCTGCCTTAACCACGGTTTGCTTGACACAGATGGAACAGTGACAATGTAATCCTATGCGTATCTGCTTGGAAGGCCCCTGAGTTCAGTGGGACTTGCTCCCAACAAAGTATACTTACAAGGGCCGCTTTAATCCTGGTTGGAAAATGCAATTCAATCAGTTTGACAACCTGGTTTGCAGCCAATCCTGAACAATGGTTTAATACACCATGGCAAATGTCTGTAGAGGCCCTATATGGTGTACAGCTTTACCCTTAAAACTATTCTTTAAATATCATACAGATATTAAAAAGCTAAAGTTATCCACATGTATTGTCTTTCTTCAAAAAGCTAGGAATTTTGGCAATGTTGAAATTCGCTTAGTTACACAGGGTTGAAATTATGCATAAAAATGAAACTCAGACTTTTAAAAGGTCACAAAAACTGCATTGCTGTGGTTGCATTAAATACATTAAATGTACATCTTACAAGGCAAGCACAAAAAATCCTCTATTATATATTGTGTCACCAAGATTGTGGGACTCCAGATTTTGTTGCAACTGCAACTCATAGCATCCCATATCATTGGTCATGCTGGCTGGGGTTGACGGGAATGCAGGGTCAAAGTTTCCCAAATGTCTGCTTTAAGAATATTCTGAAATTCCTGTCAAGGCTAGAGTCCAGCAAGCTACTGATCTGTTTTCCTCCAATTTGAGTCCCTAATAGTATTCCTAGCCCCTCCAGAGCTAATGAATGAGAGCAAATCCTAGCCACTGCTTCTTATTTCTCTTCACTTTTTGTATATTTTTTAAAAATAAAATTGTGGTGGTCAACATAACAGCAAAAATCAAGATCCAAATCAACAGTGCATACACAAAATACAATTCCATAAAAAACTATATGCCGTATTTAGGGAAAGCAAACATCTTATCAAATAAATAATTGTCCTTTAATCAATCTTCAACTTATATAAGCAAAAACACACTTTAACAACTCGAGAGAGAGAGAGAAAACCACCCCAAAAAACCACAGCTCATTTTAGAAACATATCCTCTAAATCGACCACACTGGAATATTCCCCCCCCCCCCTCTAATTTTTAATGAACAGATCTAGCTTACTCCTTAAATAATAAATCACTTTCAGTGACTTAGGCAGTGGAAAATCTGACCTACTGATGCGGCTTCTGCTTTCTGCGGGGAAGGGGGGGGGGCAGATGTTTATAAACAACTTGGCCAACATTGTTCCTAGATGCTGTTTGAAACACAGAGCAATATGAACCCCTCTAGGAAGGCATCAAAGTCTAAGAAAGCCAAATCAAGCAAAAGTAATGGAAGGTAAAAGATAAAGGACCCCTGACAGTTAAGTCCAGTCGCAGATGACTCTGGGGTTGCAGCACTCATCTCGCTTTACAGGCCGAGGGAACCGGCATTTGTCTGCAGACAGTTTTCCCGGGACATGTGGCCAGCATGACTAAGCCGCTTCTGGCGCAACCAAACACCGAAACGCTGCAGCGCACGGAAACGCTGTTTACCTTCCCACCGGAGCGGTACCTATTTATCTACTTGCTCCTTTTTTTGGCGTGCTTTCGCACTGCTAGGTTGGCAGGAGCTGGGACCGAGCAACGGGGGCTCACCCCGTCGTGGGGATTCGAACCGCTGACCTTCTGATCTGCAAGCCCAAGAGGCTCAGTGGTTTTATACCACAGCGCCACCCGCATCCCCAAAGGAAGGTAGTAGCATGTAATAAAGAACTATTCTATCATCCCCTCCTAGCATGATGACAATGAAACTTTCTCTGCACTTTCTCTGCACTGTGGCCCTGTTGAGCTGCTGACCATTGGCTTGTAACTTAGAATGGATTAAAGGGTGGACACACCCTTCAGAAATGTTTTACACTTATAGAACTTTTTAAAGATGACCCCTTTAGCAGAATCCTAATTTCCTGCTTGATTCTGTTCATAGAGTTTTGCTGGAAAGCAAAAAATGCAGGCACAAAAAAATTATACAGGCAGCAACCGTTTTAGGCGCACCCAACTGAAGGACAATTGTCGATGTGCAGGTCCTTTGGGACCCAGAAGAAAGCAGAATGGGGGCAAAACAGGAGCAGGGCGGGGGGGTGGTGGAGCACACTGATACGTCCTACATCCACGTGCACGGGGGGCAGGGGGCGGGAACAGAACCTGCACAAGCAATGCTCTCCGCCTGTGTATTCTTTAGTTCTACAATTTATGTACCACTTAATCACAATTGCCTCTAAACTAAAAAAGAAAAGAAAATCCTCCAATTTCAGGCACTCTCAAGACCCTTCCCCAAAGTCAATTGTGTGGATGTATGGGAGATTAAAATAGTAAGGAAGAGGAGGAGAAAATCATATTCTCAATGTCCCACCAGGCAGGAGTTACGTGGGGCCTCTTTGTTCCTAGAATCGAGAAAAATGGGGGTGGGGGGCTCCCTTGAGATATTTTTGGAGGGTGGGTAGGATTTCCCCCCCCCCCCCGGGGATTTCCTCTTGGATTCTGTTCAGGGAACCACCCATGGATGCCAGATAATCCATTGAAATGAATCTTTTCCATTTGTTGGATCCTTTCGTGGAATTATTCTATGAATGGGAAATATTGCCACTGAAGAGTCCTAAATGAAACAGGGTAAGGGAGAGGAAATGCTAGCAGTCAACCAGGAGGTAGAGCCAACCTATGCTTTTACCTCCATATTCTTGCTTGGGTAAAGGTAAAGGTAAAGGGACCCCTGACCATTAGGTCCAGTCATGGCCGACTCTGGGGTTGCGGCGCTCATCTCACTTTATTGGCCGAGGGAGCCGGCGTACAGCTTCCGGGTTATGTGGCCAGCATGACTGAGCCGCTTCTGGCGAACCAGAGCAGCGCACAGAAACGCCGTTTACCTTCCCGCTGGAGCGGTACCTATTTATCTACTTGCACTTTGAGGTGCTTTTGAACTGCTAGGTTGGCAGGAGCAGGGATCGAGCAACAGGAGCTCACCCCGTTGCAGGGATTCAAACCACCGACCTTCTGATCGGCAAGTCCTAGGCTCTGTGGTTTAACCCACAGCGCCACCCGCATCCCTATTTGCTGCATTTATACCCAACCTTTTTTCTTCTTCAAGGAGCTCAAGGTGGCATACTTGTTTCTCCCTCATTTAATCCCCACAACAACCCTATGAGGTAGGCTAGTCTGAGAGGCGGAACTAGTCCAAGGTCACCCAAAGAGCTTCATGGTTTATACTAAGACCGGCAGAAACCCTTCAGGATTTCTCTCCCAGCCCTACCCAGAGATACCAGGGATTGGACCCAGAACCTTCTGCATGCAAAGCAGATGCTCTCTCACTGAGCCAGAGCCCTTTCCTCTGAGGACTTGGGAATAAGAAAGCTTCTCTCCTTCTGTATCCTGTGCTGTCCACTTTCCCCACACCTGCTCTTCTCTTCTCTCCAGACAGATGAAACAATGCAGTGGTTCAACTGGCACAAAAATGGCCCCATTCACAAGATGAAATGAAAAAAAAGTGCAGTGCGCCATACAAGACAGAAATTTATTCCTGCTGTTATTCTACTAATAGTTCAACAAATAACGAGGAAATGGCACCCGCCCCCTCTCCCAAAAAAACAAAAGTGGAGTTTAATTCCTTTTATTTATTTATTTTTACCACTGAAGACTTGGCAGTGAGCGGCGACGCTTCGTGTGACTCTGCGGACATCACTGCGCAAGGTTCCCTCGGAGCCGATTTAGGCGGTCTAGAAGCCTGCTCCGATTTCTTGCGAGTGCTAATCTTCCTTGTCTTCGAATGTTTCTCTTTTGCTGCAGCTCCTTTAAAAGGGGTGCAAGGAACCGTTTCCTCTGCACCGGAACAGCCCCAAGCGCCATCTGCTTTTCCTGACTCTGCAAAAGGTGCTCTTGCTAAAGAATTGAAGCAAAAGAGAGAGAGAAAGAAACCGTGTCAGTTCAAATCCCTGCATGTAGTTTCTCAAATGATTGCCTTAAAATAGGCCATTAACACACAAGTTACATCAACTCGCATGTAAAACCAGGGACCTGCACTCGGGCTGAACATCCAGACAGAAGCTAGGAACAAAATAGGTTCAGTCCACAAAAGAACCGCCTATGTGAGTTTGAAAGCAGGCAGATAGCTATATTTTATTATTTCCTTCTTGCCACATTTCACCTTAAGCTGTTTCCCTTAAACATTCTTTACTCGGTGGTACATACTCCAGGAATGATGCTTAAGGGTCAAAGGCTCATCCAGCATTTCTGAATGCTGGGAGATTCAGGCCTCCTGCCTGACTGCATAGTCAACAGAAACAGTTAGTTATGTATAGAGGTTAAAAGGTACGCATTATTGGTTTTTAGGAAGGTGTGCGCCCTTGGGAATAAGCACAGAAGTTGTCACTTATCCACGGGTTAAGACATCTGTGCAAACACAAACCACCTACTCTGGGGGAGAAACCTATGTCAATACAAATCCTCTTTTACCAGTAGAAATGACTACCATAAGCTCACCTCGAGGTGTTTCTTTCTGTTTATTATGAAGCACATTTACACACTGTTCTTTCTGAGCTGCAGGTGAAAGTGATGAAACATCAGGTTCAGTTTTCTGATTTTCCGACATGGGACCACTTAAGGTACAAGACAAAAATTGGAACAGAACATGACCATATTGCCACATTAAAGAAACTTCCTACAGGTCTATCGGAGATAAACGTTAATAATAATAATAATAATAATAATAATAATAATAATAATAATAGTTTATTATTTATACCCCGCCCATCTAGCTGGGTTTCCCCAGACACTCTGGGCGGCTTCCAACTGAATATTAAAAACAATACAGCATTAGACATTAAAAACTTCCCTAAAGAGGGCTGCCTTCAGTTGTCTTTTAAAAGTAAAATAGTTGTTTATTGCCTTGACATCTGCTGGGAGGGCGTTCCACAGGGCAGGCACCACTACCGAGAAGGCCTTCTGCCTGCTTCCCTGTAACCTCACTTCTTGCAGTGAGGGAACCACCAGAAGGCCTTCAGAGCTGGACTTCAGTGTCTGGGCTGAACGACAGGGGTGGAGATGCTCCTTCGGGTATATTGGGCTGAGGCTGTTTAGGGATTTAAAGGTCAGCACTAACACTTTGAATTGTACTCGGAAACGTACTGGGAGCCAGTGTAGGTCTTTCAGGACCAGGGTTATATGGTCTCAGCAACCACTCCCAGTCACCAGTCCAGCTGACGCATTCAGACCATGTGATAATTTTACACTGAAGCCATTTGATACTGATTTGGTGTGGTGATTATGATTTTTATCTGGGATAATTACTTTTGCATTTACATTCCACACAGAAAATTTCATTAATTGCACTGCTTCTTACTTTTTTAAGCTGTAATTTAAGTACAAAAATATGTGCTACATGTTTCAGGAAACAAAGGGGAAAAATGAGGCCAAATTAAAGATTTTAAAATATGAATTTCAGGAGACTGAGCAGCAGATGAGATCCTTCAGTTGAAGCGGACTCTGAAGAGATGAAGAAGCCTCTGCACACATTGCTCACATGAAGGGGATGAGGCAATGGGGCTTTTACAACTTAAAATCAGAAGCCAGATAACTCCACTGTTGAAGGCAGTATGCTTCCATGCACCAGCTAATGGGAATCACAAGTGGGAAGAGCGCTGTCATGTGCATGTTCTGCCTTTGGGGTTCCACAGGCATCTGGCTGGTCACTTTGAGAAATATATGCTGGACCTTGAGCCTCATCCAGCATGGTTCTCCTTATGCTCGTAATAGGTCTACGTTGGGAAGATCCTTCATGCGTTATTAAGGTAAAGGGGCATCTATACACTGAAAAGCCAACAGAATTGGACTCCAGGTCCTGCCTCTGGTGTAATGTGGCTTCCCTTTCCACACCTCTGACACCTGCAAAATGCATAGGTAAACATAAAGGTACCCCTGACCGTTAGGTCCAGTCACGGACGACTCTGGGGTTGTGGTGCTCATCTCGCTCTATAGGCCGAGGGAGCCGGTGTTTGTCCACAGACAGCTTCCAGGTCATGTGGCCAGCATGACTAAGCCACTTCTGGCAAACCAGAGCAGCACACAGAAACGCTGTTTACCTTCCCGCCGGAGCGGTATCTATTTATCTACTTGCACTTGACGTGCTTTCAAACTGCTAGGTTGGCAGGAGCTGGGACAGAGCAACGGGAGCTCACCCCATCACAGGGATTCGAACCGCTGACCTTCTGATCAGCCAGCCCTATGGTCTATGGATAGGCACCTGCAAAATGGAAGCCTTCATGCCTAGCCTTATACGCCAACAGATTTTCAATGGATCCAGAAGTTTACACCTACAGGCTTCTGTTTTGTGGGTGTTTACACTCAACGTGTGGACATCAGGGGTGGGGCTTGGGGAATCAGGTGACCTGGAAGCAGGGCCAGCAATTCGATGCTGCTACCCCTTTTCAATGCTTGGAGCCCCCTTGCCTTGGAATATCGCATGAAATGGGCTACTTTCTTCTCTAATATATGCCTGTTCAGGTTCTGGTTTGAATAAAAAATTCCCAGGGACAACTGCAGGATGCAAATCAAAATGTGCCAGCACAAATGTGTGTAACCATGTTCCATAATTAGGCTGTAATCGTTACCTGTAATCAATCAAATCATCAGATCCAGCTTCTGACACCACAAAATTGGCAGGTTCTTCTGGCTCCTCTTTGCAAGCCTTATCAGAAAGAAAACTTATTCATTCATTCAAAAGAGAATCTCAGTCCACTCCATCCTAAGCCCAGTCATGTTTGCAATACTGTAACCTAAAATCTAAACAATTACATGGTACCGTAGACAATACACAACAAACCCTTGGTTGTCTGAGGATTGGGCCTGTTTTTAACAGATAATTTTAATATTTTATATTTTTGTAGACCGCTTAAAACAGTTTTTCTTACCACCAAGCAGCATATAAAATTTGTTAAACCAACAAACAAGGCTTCCTGTTGCACCAGACAAGTTCCATTCCCACCCCACTTTGCCTCCCAATACGGATAGATAACAAAAAGGAGAGAACCCACTGTTCGGGAGCTAATGACTCTCAACAATTGCTCTTAATAATAAGCCTGTGTAGAAAATAGTTTTAGTACAGTGCATTCATTTTACGCTTGTTGACTGGGCAAATCCATTTCATCGAAGCAGAAGCCACAAGAATTGTTATAAAAATCAATGACCTGTTTGGTCCAGCATAGTCAGCTGTGCCTTCACAGCATAAGTAGGTAGGGTATAAATAGAGCTCATTCTGCACTTTCCTTCTAATATGACAGAGGCTATAATTCAGGGGGTCCCCTGGACCTATAGACCCATCCTCTTAATCCCAGCCACAAGGGCTGAGTTTGCTTTTTCGCTGATATAACCAAGGCACTCTCTGTAACTTAAAAAGAGCACACTCTTGGTGCACATTATTTAGCATATTCCAGGGTACCCAAAATAAGCCCTGACTCAAAAGGTAGCAAAAAATATTGGCTAAATTTATGCCATCAGATGATGCCAAGGCATCCATGAAAATGTTCTGCTGTCTTGGCTGCATTCATTAAAAGAATGGATACGTAAAGTTAACACATAAACAACGCAGAAACATTTGGGCTTGTAATGCAATCCAGCTCTAACTGCCCTGAATATTTGTTAGAAAGATGGGCCATTAATGCTGTATATTATGCATTTTGCAACCACTTCTCAAACTCATGTCCATATTTCTTCCTCCTGACAAGCCTGTAATGCAACAGATCCCATATTTATTTATTTTCTGCTTTAACTGCTGTTAATGTTACCAGTGTTCAGCTCTGCTTAGATTATTTGTGTTCTTCTCACCTCGCTTCGTGCTACTGCGGTCAACTGTGGGTTTGCTAAAACAAGCCTGTCAAGTTAACTGTCACGGGAATGCAGACAAAGGAAATTTTATGTGGTGGGCAATCCCATTTGTACACATTTATGCTACTGTATATTTTGTGAAGTCTACTAAGTGCAACAAATGAAACTGAACTTGAACTAGCCAGGCAATAAAACACTTACGTCTTCAAGGACCCTGATTTCCAGAGAGGGCTCAATGTTTGCAAGAAGTGCCTCAGGCTCTTCTCCTTTGGAAACATCTGCCCAGTACTTTTTCATTTCTTTAGCTGGAATTAAAAATTAAAACTCTGCCAGTGTTTGTATTTTAGATTTGTACTAAATAATTGTTCTAACACAGCTGCGAAATTGCAGTGCCAGGCATTCCAGTCTGTTGAGGAAGCGCTAATGGCAAGGTATTCTCTTGCCTCTTGTTCTAGGTGTGAATAATTGAAACCATTAGGATAGTACGCATTGTGCTAAGCAGGAACATCCCTATCTGTAGTAACAATGTGTGATAACAGCTCAGTGAATGGGGGGGAAATGCTGAAAACACGGAGAATCAAAAGGATACGATGATGGCTCAACAGCAGTATAATTTCACAAGAAAAGTAAGTGCGGTGGGCAGAGCGATGGATGGAGCCAGAGACAAAAAAAAAACCCAAACCCCATTATGGATTAACTAATCTGGATAAGGTTGGTAACAAGGGATTGTCTGGAGAAAGGAAAAATTTTAAGGACTCGCCTGGACAATGTATTTCCAGTTTCATTTCTAATATTACAGTGTAATATGTAACCGACACATGAAGTTTTTGAGGGAAAAGCCAAGAGCCTTTCTCAAGAACAATCACCTAAACACCCCTAAATTCACTGGTTCTAAGGACACCCATATTCACTTGTCTCCTACCAGATTTTATCAGCCGTGTGGAGTTGGCAAACAAACAAAAAAGGAAATATTAAAGCACCCTGTATCTACAAACTTTGCAGACTGGAAGCACTGAAAGGGTATTAAGATCTCACAAACTGAAGAAAAATACATTTGCAATAGCTGGCTTTTGTCAAGCCCAACCTTCTCAATTCCTGCATCGCTCAGGACTGGGTGACACAACCATTTTCATATGGAGAGAGTGGGTTAATGTACTTCAGATATTATCCTTTCTGGGCAAGGAATGAAATGGCTGCACAATAGCTTCACCTCACACTCCCAACTTTCCATACCACCATTTGCGTGTTGGTGCAACTGCATCTTAATTTAACTTTGTAAATTGTCAAATCGCTTTTTGGGAATTCAGTATGTCCCAATTGCAATTATTCCATAAACCTGATTAGCCATTCAGATTCTTGATGTAGCTTGCCACTGGGAGCATAAAAGTACTCTATAACGGATTGAGAAGCCCAGCAAACCTTCAAAACGAGCAAATGCTATATCATCATCGTCTTCATCATCATCATCCTCTCCTCCAACCCAAGTGTCATCAGGTTCATTAATCTGCGGCTTTTCAAGTTTCAGTTCATCTGTTATAATACTATCTGGCAACTTATCAACTGGAGTTCTATAAAAAACAAAGAGGAGGAAAATGCTTGAAAACTGCAAGCCTATTATCACACTGTTACTCTTTTTGGTATGCACAGAGAATGTGAGAAAACTGATCCTGACTTCTCACAATGGTTATCTACTTCCAGACTGGGTCTTTTGCTGAGTCTCAGTCACAACACAAAGGCAAACCATGGTGCAGAACAAACATGCAGGATCCCAGAGAGACCAAAGCTGTTTTGCTCTTCCTCTGGTCCTGCTACTGTGAGTTAAACAATGGTTTGGTTCTTAGCGTGTCGTCAGAACCCAGGCTTCATGGTTTATCTCCTTTGGACAAATCACAAGATGAAAACCAAGAACAAACCTTGGTTTCAGCTCCCGATTCGTCTGGTGTGTGACAAATAACCTGCCCGGGTTTCGATGACATGCTAAGCCAAACCATGGTTTAGCCCTGGTAGAGCAGCAGCAGCAGCAGCAGCAGGATCAGAGGAGGTGCAAAGGGGATGTGATTTCCTCTTGAGGGAACCACACACTTCTGCTTGTAGAAAGCCATGGTTTGGCTTAGCGCTACATGCAAAGTGGGCCAGCATCTACTGAGATAAATCAAGTTCAATTAAAAAAATTGCAACCCTTCACAACACTTTCACTTTCAACACTTTCAGAATTATTGGTAACATTATACCCTAAGTTACCTTGACATCCATAAAGTCATTCCCAATAAACATTCTAAATCAGCAACTCCTTTCCCTATGAAGGAGTATTTTCCAATATTACTGCCTGAATACTTTGATTACACTATTTTAGAATAAGCAATTAGATTAAAGTCCCTTGTGTATTGCAGCAATCCAGCGAATACCTTCTATGCTTCTTAATCAATAATCTTTCCATATACTTCAAGCCATCTTCCTTGAATTCAATTTCCATAGCTTTCTTCGCAACTGGAGGGCTTGTCTGCACTTGACAGGAACCAGTATTTTCTATAACAATATAGAGAAAACTATCAGCAACCATTCAAACATATTAGGACATCACTCACATTAATTTGCCAACAGTAGCTCTACAGCTCTGGCAGAACCAATGGGATTAACAATACTAAGAAAATAATTCAGAATTGATAATATTTAATAGCATAAAATGCAACACGCATTAGTGCAGCCCTTGCACAATGCACGGAAATTGCAAGCCAAATGTGTAGGCTAAGCCCCACAAGTAATCAAGGCAGTGAGGTGTCCCTTATATCAGTTCATGCCCAGGAATTTATTTAAATATTTCCCCACTTTTTGGACAATCGCTGTCATCATTCACAAGTCAAATACTGACCTATCCTTGTGTCATGTGGAATACTTAGAATGTAAGCTAGATCAGCTTTCTTTTCCAAATATTATGTAGCAATTATTAATCCTTACCTGGTCCAACCTGACAGGAACGTTCTTCCTTAGATTTCTGACAGTGATTTCTACTTCTCCACTGATTCAGAGCTTCCTGAAAAGACTTTGCAGATTCTTCTTCGTCAAACACACCATGCAGTAAAGACCCACCACTCTGGCTCTCAGGCCTATCCTCCACATAAGGTTCTGTAGATGCTTCCTGAATTAATTTCGAGAATTAATCTGGGTTAACCAAAATTCACCCATTTCTGATACATCCCAGTATGCCAGTAGGTCACAAACCTGTTTTATACCAAACGCTTGGAATATATAAAGCTTCCCGAATTTAAGGAAATCAGGTATTTAGAATAGAGTAACGTGGAGTAAGTCTGGTATGTAAGCTTCAAAATGGACCAAGTTATCACTAATGCAATTCAAGACCGCATTAGGAAATCTCTATATATGACCACAATGGCCCTAATGCAGTACAGTTATGCATACTCAAATCCAGTGAAATACTTGGAAACAGAGGGGAAATGGACTTTTCTTACTGGGTTAACTTCTGTTGCTTCTGGATGGCACTGTGCAATATTGGGAATGGTGCCTCCTAGAGTCACTAGATTTTTTTCTGCTGGATTTTTTTCCCCCTGCCATCCAGACCGACTGGCAGCTAAGGAATATTCCCACCCATCCATCCCCTTAATTTTAAGGAAAACTATGGAAAGAATTAGCAGCCAAAAAAACACAGAACACTGCCCCAGGAGGTGTGATGTGCAATATAACCAAAGAATCAACCAAAGTGTTTTGGGGTTCCCTTGACTTGTAACAAAATCCCAGTCCATGCATCTAATTAAAAGGGACAGGACTGAGCAAGATGAAAAACAGAAAGACTCCTGAAAAGAGAGAGAGAGAGAAATCAAAGTGCTGGTTAGGGAGCGGGGGGGACCAGATCCTGACCCAAGCATAAACTCTCAGCTCTGAAGGTACAGCCATTCTGGGAAAGCAGGGATGGTGGCTCCTCCTCTAGGAAAAAAGTTCTAGTAATTCTCACTCTCAGCAAAGAATAGTGTACAATGGCCTCTAGAACCATCAAATGAACTATAAGTATATAGCCATACCCCTTCAAAAAAATAGCATTCTAACTAATGGAACAATTCAAGAGGTCAAAAATCCTCCCCTTATTCTCCCCCAAGGAGAGAATCCTAAGATTTCCAGAATCAATTCCTGGGACTGAAAATGCCTAGAAAATTAACCACACCCTCAATAAACGGTTTCTTTGACTGGCTGGCATCCATACCATAACAATTAAAAGGCCAGCTTTTTGCTGTGATTCTGAAAGAGAAATTTCCGTAGAATTTAAAACACACAACACTTCAGATGGTAAATTTCCTGAATTACCTCAATATTGTAGGCTGGCATTTTTGGTAAAGGTGAAGGAATGTCTGAAGTATTCACTAATATATCATTAACTTCCTTCTTCAGTCCACTATTTATGCGGCCATTAGGTTCCTCAGGATTTATTGTTTTCAGGAACTGCTGAGCAGCCTCCAATTTCCTTACTGGTATACGTGCTTTTGCCTACAGAAAAAAAGTAAGTAATATGTTGAATTCAAAACAAAAACAGATATTTTGCATAACCAACAAGAGGAGACTACAGGTATGCTGCCTGGATCTTCTATTGCAGTACACAAAATAGCAGATCAGGTATGGGAAATCTCTGGCCATCTAAATGTATCCAAACTCCCATCATCCCTGATCATTGGCCATGCTTGCTAGGGCTGAAAGGAGCATCAGCTTAGCAACATCTAGACGGCCAAAGGTTCCCCAACTCCTGTAAGTAGATGTAGTCAACTAGGCATTTCTATTGCACTTGGAGGCTTCTATTCTGGATTTCCAAAAAAAATCCCTGTTCCCAGGAATTTCACCCATTGTTTCAAGAGTGAGTCGAGTGGAGAAGGATCAGAAGTAGACAATCGAAGAGGCAACTGTCTACACATTGCTGAAATGTTTTGGAACATAATCTAGGCTATCATCACTCGACGAAAAGCAAGATAGAAATAGTAAGACTAGGGATTTATCATTCAGCAATAGTTTGTGTAGAAGCAGAAATTACCAGCAGAAGCATGTAATGGGAGAAAATAGTATTGAAACAGCAGTCAGAGAATGCACAGGCTGGTTCACATATAACATGTCCAGTTCTCCAAACAATGGTTTGGAAGACTGAGAACATAGCATTTTATGTGCTCCTTCCTCCCTTCATGCGCTCAGACTCACATTTGCTACTTCCTGGTTCTTTTGCAACTGAACTGGCAAACTATCTTTGCACTTGCTCTCTCCCAAACAGGACTAGAAACCAGCTTCCATGTACGATTCCTGGTCCTAATTTGGAGGACAAACCCAAGTCATAGATGGCCAGTACAAATGTAATGGCAAAGTTCAGCTTGACTGATCTTTTTTTTTTTTTTAACTGACTCTTGGGAGTGTTTAAGGAATGGGTAGGCAAACTAAGGCCAGGGGGCTGAATCTGGCCCAATCATGGCCTAGAAGTGGGAACCAGGGAAGAGGGTCTTTTCGGTAGTGGCACCCGCCCTGTGGAACGCCCTCCCACCAGTTGTCAAAGAGAAAAACAACTACCAGACTTTTAGAAGACATCTGAAGGCAGCCCTCTTTAGGGAAGCTTTTAATGTTTGACAGACTATTATTTAATGTTTGACAGACTATTATATTTTAATATTTTGTTGGAAGCTGCCCAGAGTGGCTGGGGAAACCCAGTCAGATGGGCAGGGTATAAATAAATTAATAATAATAATAATAATCATTATCATTATCATTATCATTATCATTATCATCATCATTACTTTCTAATTCCGGCCCGTGGACGGTCCAGGAATCAGCGTGTTTTTACATGAGTAGAATGTGTCCTTTTATTTAAAATGCATCTCTGGGTTATTTGTGGGGCATAGGAATTCGTTCATATATTTTTTTCAAAATATAATCCGGCCCCCAACAAGGTCTGAGGAACAGTGGACTGGCCCCGTGCTGAAAAAGTTTGCTGAACCCTGGATTAAGGGAAGGAGGGATCATACAAGCCTATGGCACATATACCAACTCCCCTACCAGGAGACTGCACAATCAGAAAAATCATGTGTGATTCAGTCCAATGAAACGAACAGGATAAAAAAGGCAAATATTCAACGAAGCTGTTGTTTCATGTGTGCATGTGAATCCGCAAAAATGGTCTGCGGCTACTTAAAAAAAACTAACTGGAGAATATTCAAGTCAATTCTACAGGTAACAGGGTGTTGTATTGCATATCCATGTGGCAGATGATGAACTGGAGCCACTAATCATTCCTCGTCCAAGCTTTGGAGAGCAGTACTCCAAGCAGATGCTCCAACAGAATCAACAGCCCCAGTAACGCACTGTGTAAATTCTTTCTCTCTTCTGTAGGAATTAGTGAATACTCTTTTATGTTACGAAGAGGCAGTCTAATTGCTTTGCTTTGCGTTGCCTGTTATGTTCAGCATCTGACTTTCTCGACTCTGCTGACTTTTAGATTCTCTCTCTCTCTCTTATACATCTGTCCTCATTCTTTTCTACATGCACGGAGGCACCCTTAGCTATTCTTTGGGAGTAGCAGAGTAGCAAATGCTTTGAGAATTTGTTTTTGGCAATAAAAAACAGAAAGGCAAATAAACTACAAGTGTCACTTCTAGGCCATGCAAGTGTCCCCTCATGCTCATTCAGATAATTGTTGTTATTATAATTATTATCACTATTATTATTTTTAAAAAAAGAAACATCAGACTGCATTAAAGGGTAGCAAACTTCACTCTGAAATAAGGCAAAGGAGGAAAAATCAGTTAAAAATATTTCATGGAAGGGTGAGGAACTGCATCCTAAAGTCTCCAATCAGATCACAAAGCAAGGCTACATATGGCAAGAGAAAAGTTGATGGAAAAAATGTTATTAATTCTCCTTTATTTCCCTGCAAAGGATAAAGCTTATACTCTCTCCAGCCACCTCCCCATTTTTCATTTTCCCTTTCAGAGGCCCTGTCCCCTCCCTGTGTACAACTTTGAGGACATTAACTTCTCCCTTTTCTTCTTTTCTGACCCTTTAATGTTGCCAATTCTTTCCCCCTTTGTACAATTACATGCCCCAGAATTTCTGCACCAGAACTGTGGCAATGCCATGTATTTGGAAACAGATTGCGTTTTGTAGTGCTGAATGCACTAAATCTTCAAACGTTATGCCTTTGGTCACTGGGGGATAACTTACGGCAGGTACAGGAGCTTGTTAACGTCTATTATGGAGCCTTATTTCAGCTCCCTCTCCTCCACCGGATGACAAGCCAATTTCCTATACTATTTGCTAAGGTTCAGACAACAAACTCTCAACTCCACCTTTCAGAGACAGTCTCTGCTACTGTTGATGACCGTATTGTGATGTATACAGTTTCACTCAACAGCGCATCATAAGTGTTGTTAAGCCACATTCCTGGATGGCTTTGAGTCATGCTTGGTGGAACAATGGCATGAGATACTGTGGCAATCAAGGATGGAACAAGAGCCCCCCTGGATCAGACCAAAGGCCCACCCAGTGTAGCATATTCCTCCTCATAGCTGCCAGCCAGATACCTCCAGGAACCCCAAAAGTAGGGTCCAGAGGCAAATCCCTTTCCCACTGTTGCACCCCAGCATACTGTGCATTCTCATGCGCTTCCCCAACATTTCGCACACACACTGCTTTCTATGCAGAGAGGAAAAATGCTTCTGTTTTAGCAGCATTCACCTCTCTACAAAGACTCAAAGGGCCTCCCTCTGAGAATCAGCTAGTCGTCAGAGAGCTTCTCTGAAGGCCTGTTGATTTGCAGTTACAGCCACTTCGACAATCACCTGATAAGTGTCAATCACCTTCTTTAAAAACCTAATTATGGTCACACATTTCCAGTCTTGTCTTCTGAGTTTTCAGTTGGTTTGTAATTGTTTCTATATAAACAGTTGTTTCTATATAAGCAATTTGTCTAAGAATAAATGCAGAAAAAATGACCTCAGCACAGCAAAAAGGTACGACAACTAAAGAAGCTCCTGGAATTGCAAGCATAAATAAATAAATTAAATGAATGAATGAATGAATGAATAAAAAAGCAGAAAATAATAAATGCAGAAAAGGATCCCAACAAAAGGATTTCTACATGGGACAACTAAAGGAGCTCCTGGAATTGTGATAATAATAATGGCAATGAGATGTGTGCCTCCTTCGAGAGGATTATTGTACAATCATAACATAAAAACTTTTGAAAGCAACATACCTGCAAAGAAGTAGTTCTGTGGAGCTTAAGTGCCCCCTTCTGGTGCACTCTGGCAAAGCAGCTAGGACAGTAATCTTCTCCGCACTCTAAGCACACCTTGAAAAAAAGAAAATGAAGGCATAAACATGAACTAGCAGCAAAGCTCTCTGCATGTCTATCTGAAGAAAGCCCTACTGAGTTCGTTGAGACCTAAGTCCCAGGGAAGTGTGCATATAAGATTGTAGCCTAAGGTTAATAACACAGCTTTCATTGTCTCATCACAGCTCACGATGGGAAGCTAAAAACTGAAGGCAGAAAGTGACAAGTGTGAAGTGGGATTTCAAGTTTGCAACTGGTGTTCAGCCAGGCTGTCACTTTAATTAAAACGTCACCCCAATTAGGTACAACTCTATCTCACCTAAACAAATTATTGTGCCATTGTCTGCATCTATCTGGGGGAAGCTTACATTTTAAACAGACCAAACTTGGGATTAAACGTTTTCTCCGTTGATTTATTATAAACATTATCTTAAGGGCCTTTCTAGGCATTTTATAGCACATGCACTTCTTGCGTCTTTTGCTGCATGGGAGCCAGATTATTTAGAAAGCCCCAAATAATTTGGGACTTGCTTTCCGGAGTGCCTCTCTCCCTACTGTCTGAGCATTGAAGGACTCAGTTGTGGAGGCCTTCTTGATGGTGTTGCACTCTTAGTTAGTAGCCCCCTTCCAGTGGAATCGCCTTTGTCAGATCCCGCATTGAAATCAGAGGGGGCAGGTTAGCCGTGACTAAGTCAAGTCTCATGGATCTGAATGAAAGTTCAAGTTTTAAGCTAACTTGGGGGTGGGGCTTGATGGAGAGTCAAAGCCAGCACTGCTCTCTTAGCCCTGCCACTCATAGTGGCCAGGGTGGAAAGATGGGCAGGAAAAAATACCCACTCGCTGCACCAGCTCCAAGGCTGGCAGAGTGAAGAAGCCTTTGCTATCAACAGGATGGCATCCAGATCAGCCAGATAACTCTCTAAGTTTTGGGAAGCCATATACACCTTACAATAGTGTGGAGGTTTGAACAGCTTGACAGAAAAGGCTAAAAGAACACAGCACTGTGTCTCACATAAGCAGCAAAACAAGTTCGACAATTGTAATGTTTTCCTTTAAATTTCAACCATTTGTATATCACTTAATCATAGTCATGGTATGCAGGAAGGGAAGCTTAAAATGAGGTGAAATGATAAAATCAGAATTCATGTTCCTATTAATGATCACTATGTTCTATATTGGTCCATTCAACGACAATGGGTAGATCACTGCCAGTTTTTTTATACTGTGAGTAGATCGCTGTCTGTTGGGAGTTGGACGTCCCTGTTCTATAGATTCCACAACTATGTGATCTATTGAAGATGGGTTGGGCATGGAAAAAGGCAACTGTATGGGATCTATATGCAAAATACATTATATTAGTAGGCCCCACTATGGTATTAAGGAAGCAAGACAGGAAACAGATATGAACACAGTATAGTATGAATTACTGGGAGGATGGGGCAGAGAGATTGTAGAATAATGTCTGAATCGTCTGAACAATATAGGACAGGTATTTTAACCTCCTCTTTATGAAGGGGCTAGTCTGAAATGCAAACAGTGATAGTATTTTATTCAATACAGAGGTACTTACTAGCCTTCATAGGCATTAAACAAAACCCCACCACAGAGAAATATTTTTAAAATATTTCAAGAGCACACTGAACTAACAAGTGCGGCTATTCTTCCTTTCTTTCACGTACTTACCAAGAGCGCAGTCTTTGTCTCACACTGCCCACATGCCTTTCCCTTCACTTTGGGCTTTTCAGGGGCTGCATCTTTTGCTACTTTACTTGCAAGCGGCTGCTTAGCTGGCTCTGGAGCTGCAAAATGTAGTAGAGCATTGTTGCTGTTGTTGCTTTAAGCCATAAACTGTACAGAGCGTGGATTAAAACGAGGCACCAATGGGGAATGCTCTGTATGAGAGGTGGAAGCATCTGGACAAACCACAGTGCACATGTGGACTCAGAGAATTAAAAAACCCACAGGTTTATAGGATACTGTTAGATCACTAGATAAAAATGAAGTAACAAGGCAAGAGCTTGTTTGTGTTCAGATAAAAACATCCCAGTTGGATGGCAAAGACTTCAGGCTACAATTTTATTACTTAACTGCAAGTCATTTTAACAATAATGGCTGGTGTGGCAAGAGAGACCCTTAGATCTGCTCTCCTGACTCGGGTGTCACTACAGCTTCCCTGGATGGTGGTGAGGTTGGGGCCATGAAGCAAATTGGCTGCTCCATTGCATCCATGCAGCCCTAACCACACTGATGCCCTGCCCCCACGCCATCCAGGTAGGCTTGCCTTATTTATAAAAATATTTATTGATCACTTCTCATAATAAGTATCAAAGCGGTTTACAGCAGTATACAGTTGTACCTTGGATCCCAAATGCCTTGCGAGTCGAACGTTTTGGCTCCCGAATGCCGCAAACCCGGAAGTGAGTGTTCCAGTTTGCAAACGTTCTTTGGAACCCAAACATCTGACGCAGCTTCCACAGCTTCCAATTGGCCGCAGGAGCTTCCCACAGCCAATCGGAAGCCGCACCTTGGTTTCCAAACGTTTTGGAAGTCAAACGGACTACCGCAACGGATTCCATTTGACTTCCGAGGTACCACTGTTTATGTAAAATCAAACAGCCATATAAACATTTTAAATTCGAAAACCAACAAACTATTGCTGAAAGATATATTCGCAACTGCCTGCATGAGCCTGACAGAATAGAATTTTTTTCTGTGAATGTTTAAAAGTCGAAACAGAAGGTGTCGGTTGAACCTCTATTGGCAAGAGTATTCCAAAAAACTGAGCCTTGGAAACTAAAGGCTTGGTTTTCTTGCTGCCATCAAACGAGCCTCGTGAACTCGGGGAATGACAAACAACACTGACTAAAGCTCTAGCAATGCTGATGTCAGGAAGGCAGCTATATGGCTGCAAGTGTGTTATAATTATAACAAGACTTCAAAATAGTCTGAGGCACTGAAAGTTCTAAAAATATCTGATGTACCTCAATTTATAATAAGATTTTTTCAGTGTATTCCTTATGGCTTATGCAACTTGTTAGGTTTATTTGGGCAGTAGGTCAATGGGCCGATTATCAAGATTGGAGAAGGATACTTCTCCCGTATTCCAGAGTCTCGTGTTAATCCTTAAAACTGAATTCCACAGATACTGACCAAAAGTTCCCCCAAAGCTCAATTTATGTATTTATTTATTTAAATGGGTAGCCACTTTTCAAAAGTATGTATTTTGTCAAGGTCTAACCATTAGCCGAAGTTTTCAATGTAACTTGATTACAAGGTATAATGAAAACCCTGGGGAAAGATCATAGCTCAGTAGTAAGGCACCTGTTTTTCATGCAAAGTGTCACAGGTCTCAGTTTGGGCTGAGAAGGACTCCTGCCCCAAACCCAGGAGAGTCATTTTGGACTCACAGCTGTCCATGAAGGTGCAGGTCAATTCTGTGTCCAGCTCCATCTGGTATGCAGGCTGAGACACTACCTAACCACAGTTCTAGTTACAGGTAGGTAGCCGTGGTGGTATGCCATAGTCAAAACAAAATTTAAAAATTCCTTCCAGTAGCACCTTAGAGACCAACTAAGTTTGTTATTGGTATGAGCTTTCGTGTGCATGTAAGGTGCTACTGGAAGGAATTTTTAAATTTTGTTTTACCTACCCACAGACTGTCTCGCCAAAGTAGTGCATGCTCTGGTTATCTCCCGCTTGGACTACTGCAATGTGCGGCGACCTTTGAAGGTGACCCGGAAACTACTACTAATCCAGAATGCGGCAGCGAGACAGGCGACTGGGGGTGGCCACCGAGACCATATAACACCAGTCTTGAAAGACCTACATTGGCTCTCAGTATGTTTCCAAACACAATTCAAAGTGTTGGTGCTGACCTTTAAAGCCCTAAACAACTTCAGCGCAGTATACCGGAAGGAGCGTCTCCACCCCCATCGTTCAGCCCAGACACTGAAGTCCAGCTCTGAGGGCCTTCTGGCAGTTCCCTCACTGCGAGAAGTGAGGTTACAGGGAACCAGGCAGAGGGCCTTCTCAGTAGTGGCGCCCACCCTGTGGAACACCCTCCCATCAAATGTCAAGGAAATAAACAACTATCTGACTTTTAGAAGACACCTGAAGGCAGCCTTCTTTAGGGAAGCTTTTAATGGCTGATGTTTTATCACTTCATTATTATTATTATCATAGATTCTGTTGGGAGCCGCTCAGAGTGACTGGGGAAACCCAGCCAGATGGGCAGGGTATAAATAATAAATTATCATTATTATTATTATAGAGCCAGACAGTGTTGCCACACAGTGTTGACTATACTGAGCTAAATGGACCAATAGTCTGACTTGGTACAAGGCAGTTATCTATATTCCTATGACAGTTTTTCCAACACTAGCATCCTTTTACCTGGAATTTGTTCTTTGAGTATTCTTAGTTTTATCTTGCCTGATGAAACCTAGTTAAAATAAAAAGCAAAGAGTTATGTTAGACATGATTTAAAATCTGGGCTGATTTTAATGTCATTTTTGGTCATACTGACTGTTTTCTATTCATCTCATGTTAGCATGCATGTGGAACATAGTTGTCCAAGTAGTCAGACTTATTTCCACATCATGCAACAGACAGTTTTGAAGCATTTTACAATGCGGCCCAGAAAATCAGAATCTGGATGCACAACCATGCTCAGAAGATTGCTTCTCCAAAAGGTTGATTCACATTCAGTGCTGGTTGATTAAAAAAAAAAAAAATACTACCCAAAATGGTTTTTTTAAAAAATCCTCAAAAGTTGCCATATGAATCAGCCTAGGAGGGCTGGAAAATACTATCAAGTACATCAATAACTGCAAATGCAGTGTCTTATCTCCCCCCCCCCCACTGCAAGCCTTGCATTCGTAACAACTTTGAAAACCCTTTTTCTCTCATCGTGCAATTGCAGCAGCAGCTGGTGGACAGAAAAACACTGGCAGAACAGCAAGAAAGAAAGAAAAATAAAATGAACAATGAAAACATACCCAAGAACAAGAAAGCATAACGTGGAATAAAGGCATAATAATTCTGATGTGTTTTTCATTGGTGAAAATAACTTCAATCCGTTGCAACCCTGAAATTCAATGAAGCTACAAGCTAAGAGTCATTTTTAGGTGGTTTCTGCAATATTCAAAGCAAACTTCTTCATAGGAGGAAAAGAAAAACATCGCCCTTCTCCATTTCCTTGAAAGGTGGTACAACAGAGATGGGGGAAACGGTTCAATTAATGGCTTTGCAGAGTTAGCAACCATTTGAACAACACCCTAAGTTACAATAAGCCTACCTTATTGGAATTCTAGTGAGAGTCTTACCTTTCCAACATTCTCTTTGTTCTGCAACAACAGTTGGGGCTGCATGCCCAGGCCAGCTTGGCCTGATTTCCAGCGATATCCACTTGCTCGTCTATAAAAGTTCCAAAACTGCATTTGTACATGCTTTCAGATTAAGAAGAGAAATTTTTACTGCTCTCCTTTCCCCCCACCCTGCCAATACCAAAAGTAAACTTCTAAAAACAGGGAAACAGAAGTATTGTTGGAGGGGGTGGTTTCCTAGATGCTTTACCTTTGGAATAGAAATCTGACAAACACCAGCTGTAATGTGTTTTTGGCACAACTGAGGCCTTCGTGGCCCATTAGTATGGCCTGCTGCTGAATTCATTATTGTTATTACTGCTCATGTATTAATTAAAATGAGTGTGTCTGTCTTAGCTGGCTGCTATGCTATTTTTGAATAATAGGCAATGGGTTTTAATAAAATAAAAAGCATCAATAAAAAAGAAGACCTATTCTGGCATTCTTTGTTCACATAATGAAAATCACAAGAGGGAGAGTGGAGTGCAATTCATATTATTATACTATGCAGGGAGTCTCCACAACTGGAATGCAGAATCTCAGGCCTAAGGGGCTGGATGAAGCCCTCCAGGCCTCCCTAGCTGCCCTCTGGGCCTCTCCCCATGCCATACCTCACCCTGGTCCTGCTTCCATGACACCCCTGAAGTGCTTTTCCTTTACCGGAAACTACAACTAATCCAGAACGCGGCAGCTAGACTGGTGACTGGGAGCGGCCGCAGAGACCACATAACACCGGTCTTGAAAGACCTACATTGGCTCCCAGTACGTTTCCAAGCACAATTCAAAGTGTTGGTGCTGACCTTTAAAGCCCTAAACGGCCTTGGTCCAGTATATCTGAAGGAGCGTCTCCACCCCCATCGTTCTACCCGGACACTGAGGTCCAGCACCGAGGGCCTTCTGGCGGTTCCCTCACTGCGAGAAGCCAAGTTACAGGGAACCAGGCAGAGGGCCTTCTCGGTAATGGCGCCTTCCCTGTGGAACACCCTCCCACCAGATGTCAAAGAGAACAACAACTACCAGGCTTTTAGAAGACATCTGAAGGCAGCCCTGTTTCGGGAAGCTTTTAATGTTTGATGTATTATAGTATTTTAATATTCTTTTGGAAGCCGCCCAGAGTGGCCGGGAAAGCCCAGCCAGATGGGCGGGGTATAAATAATAAACTATTATTATTATTATTATTATGCCATTGAACTGCAATAATCCTCGTGCTTGCCTGGAGGGAGGTGTGTAAAAATACAGCTGTCCATAACACAAACGAAGTCCATTGTACAAAGGTAAGGCTCACATCTGTCGTCCCGCCCACTTTTCCCTCTCACCGCTGGGATGCAGCCCCGGGAAAGGAAGGTGGGCCAGTTTTACTCTACATCAGGCTTCCTCAAACTTGGCCCTCCAGTTGTTTTGAGACTACAATTCCCATCATCCTTGACCACTGGTCATGCTAGCTAGAGCTCATGGGAGCTAGATTGGTGACTGGGGGCGGCCGCGGAGACCACATAACACCTACATTGGCTCCCAGTACATTTCCGAGCACAATTCAAAGTGTTGGTGTTGACCTTTAAAGCCCTAAATGGCCTCGGTCCAGTATACCTGAAGGAGCGTCTCCACTCCCATCGTTCTGCTCGGACGCTGAGGTCCAGCGCCGGGGCCTTCTGGCGGTTCCCTCACTGCGAGAAGCCAAGTTACAGGGAACCAGGCAGAGGGCCTTCTCGGTCATGGCGCCCGCCCTGTGGAACGCCCTCCCATCAGATGTCAAAGCGATAAACAACTACCTGACATTCAGAAGACATCTTAAGGCAGCCCTGTTCAGGGAAGTTTTTAATGTGTGACATTTTAGTGTATTTTTGGTCTCTGTGGAAGCCGCCCAGAGTGGCTGGGGAAACCCAGCTAGATGGGCGGGGTACAAATAATAAATCAAAAACATCTGGAGGGCCAAGGTTGAGGAAGCCTGCTCTACATGCATAGGAGTCTTTAAGTCTTCACCCTCCGGGCAGGAAACAGTGATGCACCTAAGCGATCAGGACTTGCAAGGTGACCCCACTTCCCCTCATGTGACTTTCATCATGCCTGACAGGGCAAAGGATGTTACCCTATCCTCCCAATACTGGCATGAAGGGACTGGGAGCGAATTCATCCATTTGCAGCCATGCCGAGGCCTCGGCTTCTCCTCACAATTAAAGCAGCACCAACCATTGGTTCAACGAAGGTTTTTCTGTTTAAGGAAGGGCTGGAGAGGGAGGTGGGCCTGCTGCTTCATCAAGGGATGTCAGATAATTAAAACAAAAACAGAAAAGGAAGAGCAAATTGCTGCAGCTCACATGTTCATCTGTGGTCAGCAACAGACGTCAGCCAAGCAAAGGCAATCTGTATCCATTCACATTGTTGTTTTTAAGAACACAAACAATACATAATTGATCACTGCTTTTAGATTATTGTGATTTATTTTTTTACTTTGAAATGAAAGTAAAGTTACATAAGTTATGCAAATAGTTATGTATGTTGTGTAATTTACATTAAATAGCGGGTAGCATCCTCTCCACCCCTGCCCCCCAAAAAGAAATCTGCAATGGGTTGAAGGAGCCTTCCTTGCAGATGTTGGGAGTCCAGAGGAGAATAAAAACTAAAAGTCCCACTGATTTCTACTGCCAAGTTGGTTGACCGTCAGCGGATGTCACTAGTTGTGTCTTTGAACCAGACAGAAGCATCAAACTAGATGCATTGATCTACCCAGTGCTTTTCTTCTGGAGGTACGCATACCCCTAAACATTTTGTGAATCTAAGTTTGGCCACATTGAGGGTCAGTATTTCAATATGAATGGGAAAATGAGAGTACTGTACAGTGGTACCTCGGGTTAAGAACTTAATTCGTTCTGGAGGTCACGCCACACGATTTCTGTTCTCATCCTGAAGCGAAGTTCTTAACCCGAGGTACTATTTCTGGGTTAGCGGAGTCTGTAACCTGAAGCGGCTTTAACCCGAGGTACCACTATACAGTGGTGCCCCGCAAGATGAATGCCTCGCAAGACGAAAAACTCGCTAGACGAAAGGGTTTTGCGTTTTTTGAGCTGCTTCGCAAGACGAATTTCCCTATGGGCTTGCTTCGCAAGACGAAAACGTCTTGCAAGTTTGTTTCCTTTTTCTTAAAACCGTTACAGTAATACAGGGTGCATCGCTTGAAGAGGTGCAGTTGCGACTTGACTTCGAGGAGCAACTCATAGCACGTGGTGTGGTAGCCTTTTTTGAGGTTTTTGTAGACTTTGGTGATTTTTGAAGCTTTTCCAAAACTTCTTTTGCAGCCATTTGGTAAGTTAAACTTTTAAAACTTTTTTGGGGGTTTTTGGATTTTGGGTTGGGGTGTTTGGAATTCAATGACTTGGTGTTGGGGAGGGGTTTGCAAGAATCTGGAAGCTTGTGTGTTTTTTTTCTGCATTTTTATGATTTTTTGTGACCATTGGGCCACTCTGCTTTTTTTTAAAAAAAAATCTGGGTTTGAATTTCTGTGTGGTGGGTGGCTGGGGGAACAGTTGAGGAGGGGTTTGCAAGAATCTGGAAGCTTGTGTGGTTTTTTTCTGAATTTTTATGATTTTCTGTGACCATTGGGCCACTCTGCTGTATTTTTTAAAAAATTCTGGATTTGAATTTCTGTGTGGTGGGTGGCTGGGGGAACAGTTGAGGAGGGGGTTCTTCAGCAAGAAGCAAAGAGTGGAAGAGGAACCTTCTTCGAGTTGTCCCCCCAGAGTCTTAGAAAATGTACTGTACACTTTGTTGATTTTTAAATGTTTTTCTGTCATGTTTAGAAACTTAATTTATTGTTCCTTCAGTTTTTGAAATGCTCTTTACAGTATGTGTGACTTTAAAGAGCACTTAATAAACTCTTGTTGTACCAAATTTGGCTTTGTTTGGACTTTTTTGACCATAGGAACGCATTAATTGAATTTCAATGCATTCCTATGGGATTTCGTGCTTCGCAAGACGAAAAATTCGCTAGACGAAAAAACTCGCGGAACGAATTAATTTCGTCTTGCGAGGCACCACTGTACACTTTAAAAAAAAATTAGGGGGAAAAAGCACTGGGTATAGCTAAGGATGTATGAAGGCATTCTTTTCTGTTCTGCCCTGTACTCATCACATGCAGTACTTTTTCTGTTCTATTGCAGTTCCATCAAAAACTACATTATCTGTCTTGCTGTACACTGTGGCAAAACTACGTTGTCATTATGTTAGTTCACCCCATTCATTTCAATGCAGAAAAAAATGTAATGCAAAAGGGGAAGGAATGCATTCAGAATGGATTGGTCTCCGTTCTGAAGATGGGACAACTAAATGAACACCAGCCATTTCTGTTCCTGAATTTTGTTAGAATTATCTGATATTCCTAGATGTAGCATGGTGACTATGACTATAAGGTTGAGTAAGGTATGAATCAAGAAGACCTTGGGTTCAAGCCTTTGATATTACTAAACTAGGTGGCTTTATGCATTACGGAAGCCTTTCTCCCCCAGCTAGTCATGATTTCCTGACCATGTTCCCTCACATCCACTGCAAATTACAGGATTCTTAAACCTAGCATTTCCCAACTTTCAATACACTGTCAACATACAGTGGTACTTCGGAATGCGAACGGATCCGTTCCGGAGCCCCGTTCGCATCCTGAACAGAACGTAAGACACGATTGCGAGTTGCGTTTTGCCACTTCCGCGCATGACCATTTTGAGCGTCTGCGCATGCGGCGAAACCCAGAAGTGCTCAACCTGAAGCACATTCAACCCGAGGTATGACTGTACTGGGGAAAATCCCATTTAGAGAATATTAGTTGCTTCCAGTTCCAGTACTATTTTGCTCCTTTGCAAATGAACAGCAAAACAAATTGTTATGAACTAAAAAATGAAGTGCCATTGCTTTTAAAAAATGAGCTTCTGCTAGCTAGAATCCAGCATTAAATGTTCTGAGAAAGGATGCAGAAATTAATGATTATGATCCAAGGCAATTAGCAACACTTAACACTTAAACAGAACCATATATCTTGTTAAGCGCAGCAGAACACTAATGACTGCACCCTTGCAAAGCTCTTCTGAGAGAGGAAAGTTAGCATTATTATTCACATTACTGAGAAAAAGAAACAGATACAGAGAGGTTAATAAAAGTGGCTCTCGGAATTGAAGAGAAGAGTTACAGATATTCAGCGTTGTGCTTTGTCTGCAGAACATTTTGACTGCCTAAATGGATTCTATCAAATACAGAACAATTACAACTTCCTTGTGTTTTTTTGTAAATGCATGCATATGCACTTAAAACTCATATAGAATTGAGATTCTATTAAAAGATAATGACCGTTTCATGAACAATGAAGCACCCTGAAAGAATACCAAACAGAGTTCATTGGGTGAGAGCGGGGATTGAAATTGAATTCTGGTATCAAAATCCCAACAGCAGCAAAAGACAAAGGCTGCAATTCTACAAAGCAATGTGCCAGCACAGGGCAGAAGCAGATACATAGTCGGGGGTTATCTTGATGCGTCTACATCTGCTGCTGCCACAGATGAATAGGCAAGCCACTTTTCAGTTTAAAATCCACTTTGCCCCTACGGCCAGATGAGGAACAATTGGAAGTTTTCACTTAGACTTCTTCCAGCTGAGCATAGAGCACCCCTGGGGAGTGAACATAAGTGTCGGGGGAAACCATGCCACAAGCTATTGGTTGTTGTTTTTTTTTTAAAAAAAAAGGAAAAGCACAAAAGGAATGTGAAATCTTACAGCTGTTACCCAACTGAAAATGGGGAGGTTGGCAATTTTAATTGGCTGCTGTTTTTTTCAACCGATCTTATCTACCTGCTCCATTTTATTAAAGTTATGTTGTTATGTATTTTAAGATGGTGATATTTTTCCTGTGTAGATTTCTTGCACTGAAAGACACTTCAGGTGCAAACAGCAGAAAGGTGGAGTTTGAAATTAAATAATAATTAAAGAAAGAACTCTTGAGGAATACAACTCAACTCAGTCCCCAAAAGTGGGGGGTTGGGGTCGGGGGAGCAGGGGTTCACTAGAATCATCACTCTTAATTTCAAATCATTAAATTTCACCTACTCTCTCTCTTGTTTTTCTCTGCTCATGTTTGATTGTAGCTGCTGAAGTGTCTTCTCCATCTCTTTATTTTCAAGTTCCAGCTGAACCTTCTCCAACTGCAGCTCTCGTATACTTCTGAAGAGAGATTTAAGTTCAAACACCAAATTCAGATTTTCCTCCTCCCGTATACAATATAATATGATCAGCATGGTTCAGAAACAAGCAATTTTAAACCCATTTACTTGGAAGCAAATCCCATATGTTTCAACAGAAGTAACTCCCAAGCAAATTATTTTATGACAGTAGCCATAGGCTGCAATCCTATACATACATAACTAGGTGTGTAGAAACAACACCATTGAACTCATCATGCAGGTGATTGCTCTGTTCATAGTTATGAATAGCTTGCTTTCATGGTGCACATAAAAAGCCAATAGATTATCGAAGCACATGAGACAGTTACAGGAAATGAACTTACTTTGCTTTCAGTTTTAGAGAGACTCCAGTTTTTGAACCAGGGAGAATCACAAAGTCATTGACGCTCATGATTGCCAATTGTCAAACAGTTACAGCAAAACAACAAGTTGTACAGACTTGATATCTGCTCAGAAACAAAATAAATAAATAAATAAATAAATAAAGACAATATCCATAACCTGTTACCAATTCCAACTATATTTTTAAAAAGGGGAAAAGGAAAGCCAATCGCTCATTTTGGCACACGAAGAACAGAGTGCCCTATAGCAACTATGATGCAGCAACATGCTAAAATCGTCTTTACTTCAGTGTAGATCCCAATGAATTCAGTAGTGCTTTCTCCCAAACAAGCATTCAGGGAATTGCAGGCACAGGCTAATTCAATGTGTGTTTACCCATAAGAAAGCCCCACTAAGCCTGTGCACATGGCAAACTGGACAAAGCTGGATTATGCCACACATGCTAAATTGTTTTAAAATAAAATTTTAAAAAATATAATTTTGTTAAGGTACTGTTCTAATGCTTTTTTGCTGCAGCAGATGCAACACGGCTACTGTTACAGAATTTGGGGGGGGTGCTTACTATATGAGAAAAGGGACGTGGGTGGCGCAAGGGACACGGGTGGTGCTGTGGTCTAAACCACTGAGCCTAGGGCTTGCCAATCAGAAGGTTGGCGGTTCAAATCCCCGCGACGGGGTGAGCTCCCGTTGTTCGGTCCCTGCTCCTTCCCACCTAGCAGTTCGAAAGCACGTCAAGTGCAAGTAGATAAATAGGTACCGCTCTGACGGGAAGGTAAATGGCGCTTCCGTGCGCTGCTCTGGTTCGCCAGAAGCGACTTAAGTCATGCTAGCCACATGACCCGGAAGCTGTCTGCAGACAAAAAACGCTGGCTCCCTCGGCCTATAGAGCAAGATGAGCACCGCAACCCCAGAGTTGTCTGCGACTGGACCTCATGGTCAGGCGTACCTTTACTTTTACCTTTACTATATGAGAAAGCATAATTCTGTTAATCACTGTCACAAGAACATCAGAAGAGCCTTGCTGGATCGAGTAAAAGCCCATCCTAGTCTAACATCCCCTCCTCAGTGGCCAGCTAGATGCCTATGGGAAGCCCCAAGGCAGGACCTAGATGCAACAGCAATCTCTCCATCTGTGGTTCCCAGCAACTGGAATGCCGGCTGCCTCTGACAGTGGAAGCAGAACCTTGTCATTACGGCTAGGGCAGGACTCATGGAATTCCACATTCATGGAAGCTGCCAACACTGTTGAATTTCCAATACCAGTTAAAGACTTTGTCGCTCACACAGGCCTTTGAAAGATTGGTTGGTTACATGAATGAATGAACTTTATTACGGTCACAGACCAGGATTAAAAAAAGCATATACCGTATTTTTCACTCGATAACACGCACCTGACCATAAGAGGAGGAAAACAAGGGGGGGGAATTCTGAATGAAACAGTGGATGTATCATTTTTGTGCTTCATGCTGTGGCCACAGACATGTGATTTGACGGTGAGTTTGGGGTAGCCCAATGCAAAAATCCTGAGAATCCATGTGGATCTGTGCTTTGTAACCACGTTTTTGCACCATTGCAGCCCCAGGCAACAGTGGGTGTGTGATTTTTTTGGTGCAGGCTGTAGCCATGGACATGCTATGTGATCTGATGGTGAATTTGGGGTGACCCAATGCAAAGATCCTGAGGATCCATGTGGATCCATGCTTTGTAACCACGTTTTTGTACCATTGCAGCCCCAGGCAACAGTGGGTGCGTGATTTTTTTGGTGCAGGCTGTAGCCATGGACATGCTATGTGATCTGATGTTGAATTGGGGTGACCCAATGCAAAGATCCTGAGGATCCATGTGGATCCGTGCTTGTAACCACGTGTTTGCACCATTGCAGCCCCAGGCAACAGTGGGTGCGTGATTTTTTTGGTGCAGGCTGTAGCCATGGACATGCTATGTGATCTGATGGTGAATTTGGGGTGACCCAATGCAAAGATCCTGAGGATCCATGTGGATCCGTGCTTTGTAACCATGTTTTTGCACCACTGCAGCCCTGTTTTTGCATCAGATCATTGCTATGTGATCTGATGGTGAATTTGGGGTGACCCAATGCAAAGATCCTGAGGATCCATGTGGATCTGTGCTTTGTAACCACGTTTTAAGTGGGGAGGGAAGGAAAAACATAGAAGGGACAAGGAGCACCGAGAGGGGTGTGCGGAGAAGCAGCTGGCTAAGAATGCAGGAGAGGGGTTTTACTGGAGGGAGGAAAGGAAGGCAAAAGTTCCCCCCACGCACCCACCCAAGCCAGCCAGCTCTCTCTCCCCCCCCCCCCCACCTGCATGTTGCAGCACCGGAGCACGGAGAGGAATTAGAAGGAAGGACGCTCTGCTTTCCCCTCTGCTTGCCTGGAGGGGCGGGGTTTTCTCTGCTCTTTCTTCCATTTGAACAAACACAGTAACAAACAGAAGCGGGTGGGCAGTAAGACCCTGAGGAAGAATGCAGGAAAGCAGCAGCTTCCTCTTTTCAAGCTTCCCTTCTCCGGACGATTGATATTTGCCTGATTTTTGCCTTCACTTGCGCCTGTCGGCTCCAGGGACCACACATTCGCTCAATAACACACACAGACATTTCCCCTTACTTTTTAGGAGAAAAAATCTGTGTGTTATAGAGGGAAAAATACGGTAGATAAAATAGCAGTTAGGATTTTTTGACCGATAATTGTTAGGGCAAATGAGGACAAGGAAACAGGCATAAAACATCCGAATAAAATACAAGATTAAACACAGATAATGGATGGATAAAAAACTAATAATTAAAACAGATAAGAGCTAAAAACCAACAAAGACACGCAGTTAAAACAACTGTAAGAGCATAAGAACTAAAAGACTTGCAGATAAAACAACTATAAGAGGCTACAGAGTAGAAGCCTCTTAAATAGAGGACACTCAAAATGTTAAAAACTGCTGTGCAAATATGGTTAAAACAGACAATTAAAACAATATACAACACTAAATTTAGAAACAATGTACAACAATAAACTGTCCCAGGGAGTTGACTCAGAATCACCCATGGAACCAGCGCCATCTTCCTGGTTGGTTACATTTTGATGCGGCTCTTAATTTCTCTCTCCTTAATATGCCATTGCTTTTACATTAGGGTTGCCATATTTCAAGAAGTGAAAATCGAGACAAAAAATTGTTGAGATTTTTTTTTTCTTGGCGGGGGGGGGGAATCGCTCAAAGAAAGTTACTGAGATGGGGGGGGGGGACGTTTCCAAAACCCGGACATTTTGCCGATTCCATCATCGCAATCCCAGAAGTATGGCAACCCTACTTTACGTACACGTCAGTTATTACTTGAATTGTACCCTGCTGTGAAATCGCTCTACAATGAAGAGATGTCTAAATATATTTTAAATAAATAAAATAGCTATACGGCACTAAAAACGAATACAGGATACACGTGACGAAGATATATATATTTTTTAAAAAACTAGAGTAATTTAATCCAACTAGATTAAGCTTATATAGTAAACAGAATTAGAGGTGTAGGAATTAATATGTAGAATAAATGGTAATATTGGCCCCTATAGTGATGATCACCATTTAGTGGTAGGACTTTTCCTTATGAATATGTTATTGGGTGAGCATGGTATGGATTTTGGTGTTTAAAATTATCTGGTTTTGTTTTATTTGTAGTGCTTCGTGCGGTTAAGTCACTTTGCAACTGTTTCTTTTGTACAAAACTACAAATGTAAAAAAAAAAAAGAACCCCTATTCTTACTCATTCCCTTCCACATCAAAGAACCTACTTTTTAATAGATGTCTACTAGCAGATCCCTGTTTCATCCCTTGGAACTCCCCAAGGATGCTCACCTGGCCCAAACGCTTCCTTCAGAAGCTTTAAAACCTGGCTCTCTAAGGAGATTTTGGAGAATGGTTAGTTGGCCCTCTTTTCTGTCTTCGTTCTGATATGGATTCTTCCCTGCTTCTCTGTGGTTATATTGGCTGGATAATAGTATGTCGATTTCATTTTTCTTCTCTCTGCTGATGTGTAATTCTTATTATACTATGTATGTATTTATTTGTTCTTTTTTTACTGAGCTTGCTTTTGAGCTACTTTGAATTGTTTAAGAAAAGTGGGATATACATAACGGAAAATCTCCGAAAACTTCCGCAATACTTAAGTGACCAAAAGATTTGAGTGAACAATTTGCATGATCTATATACATAATTCACATATTACCATTTAAGAATGGAGGCTTACCACTAGCCTCTTAGAAATTGAGGTTAGTATTCTGCAAGTGGGAAGCAAGCTAGGAGTTGTTGCTTACAAGTATTATCAGAAACTGAAAAATAAAGTTTTAAGCAAGAAGAAGAATTCAGCCGAGGTGTTGAGGCATACATTGGTTTGTCAACTAAAATACCCTGAACTTCATCTGCACCTTTACAGCAGCTTGATCAGCAACATAAATAAGCAACGGTTAAAAGATGGAGACAATTATTATCATCGTCTGCTAATGTCAGCAAATCAAACATCTGAAGAAGGCAACTAGGGGGAAAATTCTGTAAAATAAAATAAAAGGTTGGTAACCAGGTACAGAAGGGGAGTGTTAGGTGGAGCAAATCAAAAGCTCTAAAGGCTTGCGTTACCATCTTAAAAGCACAGAGAAATAAGTCTATGGAAGAAAGAAAGACACAGATGAGTAACCTGGCACTCATCTGCCTTTCTTGCAAGCAACAGTCAATTAAGCCCCTCCCAAATGGCAACATTAGACTCAGCAGCAGCATATGGCAACGCTGCAGGGGGGCTGCAGTTCTGTGCTCTATATGCTTTACATACAAATGCTCTTCATATTATATTCCCAGCATATCCTGCCACAAAGCAAAGGCAGCGTGCAGGTAATAAGGCAGCGGAAACCCTTGGAGAATTAACATATTGGGATGGATGGGCCCAATAAAATGCAGCTTTGTATGTTCATTCTGTGCCCTACACAAATGTGACAATGGACAGAGAGCTAGGTACATTTGGGTTTTCTACCAGTTAAGAACACATATAATTACAAGGCCGCTGGCCCAGCTAGCTAAGTATTGTCTACACACTGACCGGCAGCAGCTCTCCAGGATTTCAGATGGGACTGTCACCCAGCCCTACCTTGAGATTCTGGGGGTTGAACCAGGCACCTTCTGTGTGCAAAACAGAATTGCTGGGAGCACGCATGAGAAAAGACAGAACTGCTCATGGTGGTGAAATAGGAGTGAGTCTGGAGTAGAAGGGTTTCAATAGGGCTTTGTCACAGCTACAGTGGCACCTCGTTTTGAGTCCGCCTTGCCGAGCGTCCATTTCATCGAACCTCCACAGCAAACCCAGAAGTATCGGAATGGGTTACTTCCGGGTTTGCTGCTCGCGCATGTTCAGAAGCGCTAAATTGTGCTATGTGCAGAAGCATAAACCACTCCGCGCGTGTGCGCAGAGCGGCGCTTTGTTGTGCATCCTTTTTGTCTAGCGTTCGGGGCTCCGGAACGGATCCTGGTCGCAAAACAAGGTACGACTTTATTCTACAAGAGTGGAACATTCTGTTATTAGGCATTCTTTTATCCAACTGGTCCATGTATGAAAAGGGTCACAATTCCAACCACACCAATACCGAGCTTGTTGAAGCTCTTTGGGGAGATTATGATTTGCTATATATTTCACACTTTTAAAAACATTTAACAATTGATTGCTGCTACCCTTCATAAGCATTCAGGACAGTCTGAACTATAGGTTTTAATGAATGTGCAAATGAAAGAAGGGCCAGAGCACATCTTTTGCATGAGGAAGAAAGTCAGCAAGTGTGATTGAGACTAGGGCAGAGAGAGGGAAGACTCCAGTTGAATGCCCCACTCAGCCACGAAGTTCATTGGGTGACATCGGTCTAGTCAGTGTTTCTTACCCTAACCCACCTCACAGGGTTGCTTTAAGGATAAAATAAGGAAGGAAAAAACATGTACGGTGCCTTGCACACCTTGGAAAATCTTATAAATAAATAAACTGCTGGTTATCTCCGAGGAAAGGAATTAGGCGGCATGTGAGAAGAAACAACCTTCTCTGCCAGAGACAGAGTCACTGCCAGTTGGAGCAGACACTACGATGCTAGATCGTAGGCGAAGAGTGCCTGACCTTGTATTGCACAGCTTCTTATGCATCTAGGATCACTTTGCTGCATGCAAATCCTAACTCCGCCACCTACTTAACAACCCCACTGCAAGTTATCTCCCAGAGCCGCAATTGAAAGTTAAGTTTTTCCTGGAGCTATTCCCAATAGAAAACCTTCTGGTGTTTTCCTAAATGAATATCTAAACATTTTTTTCATTTCGTTATATATTGTTTCCCAAAATTGTTTGATGTTTAAACAATTCCACCATATATATATCATAGTACCTTTTCCTCACCCCTTTGCCACCAGAATTCCCCACCTTATTTTTCCCTCAGGGTGGATTTGCAGCAGGCAGAAATTCAACAAGGAAAGCCCCCCAGGCCCCTCCCCCCCAGCTTCACCCACTGGGTTTCCGCCTTATTTGCAGCTGTTCCATTCCAAAGGCCCAGCTTGGGAAGGGAAGGAGAAAGAAAGGTGGCAGCCTAACAGCACCCACCCTTCAGGGCTGGGATGATGGGTGTATTGGGGGGGAGGGAGCTGCAACCCTAGATCAAGTAAAACAATAGAAATACTTAACTAATTGACAATCACGGCAGTTCTGCACTCCCCCCAACCAAGTTCTGCACCCACCCTAACAACAATCTGGCTGCGCCCATGGGTGGGATTCACCAATTGCAGAAATGAAGCAAGCGAAGCTTTCTAGTTCCTAAACCACAGGGGGGTTTTTTAGGCTGAAGGTACCGTATTTCATGTTTGGCCCTTCAGCAGGAACCCCTGTAAATTCAGGGGAGCTGCCTTGTAAAAGAAAAGAAAAAAATTCCCAAATCAAGGCATCACGTCATCTAGCTCAGTATTGCTTACACTGACTGGCAGCAGCTCTCCAGGATATGAGGCTCTGCATGCAAAGGGACCGGGGGGGGGGCTTCTGCATGCAGAGCGGATTCTCTACTAATCCAGCCCTGCCCCACCGCACCCAAGAATAACCCGGCGCCCTTCCGACGAGACCCCCGACGCCCCTTTAAATTAACCCTTTCTTGGCCGCCGGCTTCCCCCGCCTCACGCAGCCGCAGAACCATTTTGCCCCCCCACCACACCCCTCAGCTGCCCCCTCGGCCCAGCATTTCGCCCACCCCACCCCTCAAGACCTGCCTCCAACGCGGGAGAGGGGCGAACTAAGCGCCGCAGCGACACGAGCAGCTCTCCCACCCAACCAGCCGCCTCGAATCCCTCCTATCGCAGGGCGGGAGCGACGCGCCGGACGGGGCCTCGCCGGTCTCCATGGCAACGGGTCAACGCGGCGCGTTCCACTTCGGAAAGCAGGGGTGGGGCAGTGGCCGCGGCCGTAGCTTCGGAAGGTTCCATGCTGCAGAGAAGGGGGGGTGGAACAGAGAATGAGCCCGGGGGGCGGGGAGTGGGGGAGTGGAATGATCCGGCTTTTCATTTCCGAGCCTGCTTTGGTTCGCTTTTGGTGCATTTGGAACATCCCAATTCTATATTTCGCTTTAAGGCGGGGAACAGACCTCACCACCACCTTGCCATATCCACAAGATCCCTGGTCTCCATGGTTGCCCAGGGCACCGGAGCCCCCCAGGGGGAGTTGGTCCATTAGGGCAAGGGGCGGGCATTGCCCTGCCAGCCTCAGTGTGCCCCCAGTAAGCCCCCACCTGCCTGCAGTGGGTCTTACAATGCCTACCAGCTCCGTCTTATAGTATTTCCCTTGTAAAGCGGGGGGGGGGGGGGAGAGATGGGGACAAGGCTAGAATTTGTTGGTTCCCACCTGGTACCACCTACCATTCGCTCCCCTGCTTTCCACCCCATCTCTTCCAATGGGCACCAGCTGCAAATTTGGGCAGCGGGGGGCATAAGATTGCTGGTGCAGCTACTGGGTCCATGTCAGGTTCAGTGCCAAGGTACAACAGCAGTGAAATCAGCTCAGGATCTGTTGGTTCCCAAGCCAGTTTACTCTTCCCCCCGCCCCTTGGAGCATCCCAACAGCAGCACTCCTGCCCAGTTGCATGTGCAAAAGGGGGGATCCTGCAGCAATGGGGTGACATTGGCATCCCTGCGGGAAGAAAGGGCACCTTTTAAACTACAGTGGTACCTCGGGTTACATACGCTTCAGGTTACATACGCTTCAGGTTACAGATTCTGCTAACCCAGAAATATTACCTCGGGTTAAGAACTTTGCTTCAGGATGAGAACAGAAATCGTGTTCCGGCGGCGCAGCAGCAGTGGGAGGCCCCATTAGCTAGAGTGGTGCTTCAGGTTGAGAACAGTTTCGGCTTAAGAACAGACCTCTGGAACAAATTAGGTTCTTAACCCGAGGTACCACTGTATTATATTGTCGTTATTGTTGAACTATACTCGGAGTCGAGTGTGAATTTCATGCTCTTTATTCAGCTTGTAGTAGCAATGAATGAAACTTTCCCCAAAACACCTAGCTATATATACATTATTTACACAATGGGCCCCACGTGATTGGCTAATTCCAGGCTGCTTCTGTAGGCCAATCAGGTTGCTGATTCACTTCCACCTGGAGCTGGATTGGGTGGCTCCTGTGGACCAATCAGACTGCTGCATTCTGGGATCCTATTGTTCTAGGATTCAGATCAGTACATAACAATTGTTATTACTGCTATTGGGGCACGGGTGGCACTGCGGTCTAAACCACTGAGCCTCTTGTGCTTGCCGATTAGAAGGAAGCAGTTCGAAAGCATGCCAGTGCAAGTAGACAAATAGGTACCACTGTGACGGGAGGGTAAACGGTGTTTCCGTGCACTCTGGTTTCCGTCACAGTGTCCCGTTGCGCCAGAAGCGGATTAGTCATGCTGGCCACATGACCCAGAAAGCTGTCTGTGGACGAACACTGGCTCCCTTGGCCTGAAAGCGAAATGAACGCCACAACTCCATAGTCGCCTTTGACTGGACTTCACCGTCCAGGGGTCCTTTACCTTTACCTATTACTATTATTGGATTTCATATATGTACCACCTTCATAAAATAAATTCAAAGTGCCTTACAGAATGAATTTTTGGCTGCAGAAGGATTTCACATGTCAATATATAAAGTTGTTCCTTGTGGCTCATGGTTTATTCTGTGGTTGTAATTAATTAATCTTCTAGTGTGGCAGCATTTGCACTTTGCCTATTGACATCAATGGGCACCTTCACTGTACTTTCTTTGGTGCCTGCTAAAAACACGCAAGCCTGTTTAGACACGTATAATGTTGTTGGCATGCATTTTAATCTGGTTTTCAGCTTATCATTGATTTTAATTATTTTTTGGTATGTTTTAAATAGTTGTTTTCATCTTTTTTTTACTGGTTATTTTATTCTTTCTGCAAACTGCTTTGAAGTTTTATTACAATCAAGTGGTATATAATCTTGCGAAATAAGTAAAATACAATGTTCTTTATGAGCCAGACCTAATTTAGAGTAAGTCCATTGTTCATCTAATTTGCAGCTCGGGTGGTCACACATAAACGAGGAATAGGTCACTTTCATTCAACAGCGAAGAAAGAATCTAAGCAGGTGTATCTTGCATGACAAATTACATTTGCTGAAATTCCCTCTTCTACAAAGCTATTAAACATACAGGAACCCTGTCTCTTACCCTATTCACAGCTCAGTGCTATGCTGGTTTACTCAGAAGTAAAACTCCCTTGAACTCAATGGGGCTTCCTCCCAGGTAAGTGAGTTGGTACTGGATTGCAGCCTAATTCACTTTGCACATTCTTCTCTGCTCGCCTTTCCCCATGAAAGAATATGAAGAGACCTAAGGCGTGAGAGGGTCAGCTGTTTATATTTGCTCTCGTGAATGATCCTGGTCTGATCAAAGGTCTCTTCGACTCATTTATTTTGTGTGTCTCGTAATTACTTGCCTGAATGCACGGGGGCAGTTGGATTCTTTTTCATTCACCCAGGGATACGCCAGCCTCTTAACTGTACAGCAGAATAATCAATACAGGCTGCAGGATGAGAATTGCATCCTTGGATAATCTGGAACGAATGCTGAAAGAATCTCTCTCTCTAGACAATAGACCTCAACATGATTCTGCAGCTACATAAAACCCTTAAGAATACTTGAGAAACATGAACTGGAAGTAACATAAATTGGAAATGAAGGTGGCATATATATAGCAGCACTCAGGTTGTGAAATTAAATGTCTCAAAAGCAGATTGCAAACAGCTCTCCGCTAATGTTACACAGAAGATGTGGATCTGATTGCATTCAATATCTTTATTACTGAAGAACAAAAGACAGAAAAATAAAAAGTATATTTTCGGATGTAGGACTACCCTATACTGAGTCAAACTTGGTCTATCAAGTTCAGTATTGTCTGCACTGACTGGCAGTGACTCTACGGGGTTTCAGGCAGGAGACAATCCCAGCTCTTCCCAGAAGCCAGATGTTGAACCTGAGAGTTCTGCATGCAAAGCAGATGCTCTACCTCTGAGCTATGGCGCTTCTTAATATTCTGAATGAACCCCTTGGCACAACCCCTTAGTTGGCATTCTCCACTGCAGCTAAATCTATCATAGAACTGTAGAGTTGGAAGGGACCCCGAGGGTCATCTAATCCAATCCTCTGCAATGCAGGAATCTAAACTAAAGCATCCATGACAGATGGCCAGTGCCGGATTACCAAATAGGCAGAGTTGGCACTGGCTTAGGGACCCCACGGGAAACAGGTCAAAGTAATATTGATTTGATCTTGAAAGAAAATGACAATCAAACTTTCTTAGTTCAATGTTATCCCACTAAAGCATGAGGGGTGGGGCCCAAGATTTTGACTGCCTAGGGGCCTCTGCAGGGTTTAATCCGACACTGCAGGTGGCCACCAAACCTCTGCTTGAAAACCTCCAATGTATGAGACTATACTGCCTTCAGAGGGAGCCCACAGTGGCAGACCTTGGGTCTCAGCTCCCTGTTGTTTAGTCTTTCAGTCGTGTCTGACTCTTCGTGACCCCATGGACCAGAGCACGCCAGGCACTCCTGTCTTCCACTGCCTCCCACAGTTTTGTCAGACTCATGTTTGTAGCTTCGAGAACACTGTCCAACCATCTCGTCCTCTGTCGTCCCCTTCTCCTTGTGCCCTCCATCTTTCCCAACATCAGGGTCTTTTCCAGGGAGTCTTCTCTTCTCATGAGGTGGCCAAAGTATTGGAGCCTCAGCTTCAGGATCTGTCCTTCCAGTGAGCACTCGGGGCTGATTTCCTTCAGAATGGATAGGTTTGATCTTCTTGCAGTCCACGGGACTTTCAAGTGTCTCCTCCAGCACCAGAATTCAAAAGCATCAATTCTTCGGTGATCTGTCTTCTTTATGGTCCAGCTCTCACTTCCATACATTACTACTGGGAAAACCATAGCTTTAACTATACGGACCTTTGTTGGCAAGGTGATGTTTCTGCTTTTGAAGATGCTGTCTAGGTTTGTCATCGCTTTTCTCCCAAGAAGCAGGCATCTTTTAATTTCGTGACTGCTGTCACCATCTGCAGTGATCATGGAGCCCAATTTATTTACAACTCCCTATGCAACACCAAAATTCAGTGACCCCGCCTCTCATGCTCCATCGTACATAATAGTTGTGGCATCCCCTGTGGCACCCCTGGGACTCCATGCCCTAAATCTGCCCCTGGAGTCCATTCCACTGACAAAAAGCTCTTACCGCCAGAATGACCTTCCTGGTGTTTAGTCCTAATCTCCTTTCTTGTAACTTGAAGCCATTGGTTGCATACCTTTTCTTTTTATTGTAAGCCGCTTTGAGATGTATAAAGGAAAGCAGGGTATAAATCCAATAATAATAATAATAATCAATAAACCTTACCCTTTTGAAACTGGTAACAAAACTCCCACCAGATTTAATGAAACCGGAATGCAGCTCAGATCTTTATTCATTGCATTTCTCCCTTATGCATCATGCTTAATTGCACAAGTTAAATGACCCCCACCCACTTGCACACCAGTCCAGGCCGAGTTCCCACACATGGAGCATTCTGCTTATGCAGGGACAGGGAGGCACACCTCCCCGATGTGTATCCAGCCTTCCCTTTCCAAGCCTTGCCAGTAATGGTTCCCAAATTACTTTTGCTTTGAAACAGTGTGCCTTCAGCAAGAGAAAGCGAGACCTGAAATTCAGCTGAAATCCATATGGTGGAGTTGTACTATAAGTTATCAGCTTCCTACATTTCACAGGTCTTGGTCTGTGTTTGTTTCTAACAATTCGCACACACAAAAGGAGGGGGTACAAGGCTTCCTCCCCCCACCCCACCCCAAAACACACCATATTAAGCATATTTTAAAGAAAACTCTTTTTAAGGCAATCTGTGCAGTGCCAGAAAGACATACTTTGCCTCCAGTAACGTGAAAAAGGGAGGGTTTGTAAGAATTTGCAGTGTCACACCTCCAACCCAAAATTAGCTTCTGGGGAGTGGGATAAGTTAATGAGGCAACCATGAAATCTCAAACGCATTTTTTAGGGTGAGGGGCTGGGCACCTCACCATGTGTTGAACGCAGTGTGACTGTTTAGCGCCCAATCAAACAACAGTGTCGGTGACGTCCTTATACAAAAACTTCAGGGGTTGGGAAAGTTTTTGTGGCTTGGGTCGGTTCACGGTCCCACAGACACCGCGGTTGGCCAGAGAGTGCACGCACGCATTCACAAACCCTATTTCCGGCGCTTCTTCCAGCGCGAAGGAGGCATGCGCAGCTTCCCATTGGCTGCAGGAGCTTCCTGCAGCCAATGGGAAGACGGCCAGCGTCACAGAAGGCGGTCCTTGCTCTGCTCCGCGCTGGTTTAGCGCGGCGCACGGGAGCCGACTGAGCAGGCTGTGGGGGCCCCTGAGCAGGCAGCGGGGGTCAATGGGCCAGTTAAACAACCCCTATGGGCCGCTTTTGGCCCATGGGCCTTAGGTTGCCAACCCCTGCTTTAAATGCTATGTATGCTTTTGGGGTCACCTCAGGGACCGGTAGGGAAATGCGCCTCAGACTAGGAACATGGGAAGCTGCCTTTCACTGAGTCAGACCACTGGTCTTTCCAGCTCAGTATTGTCCACCCTGATTGATAGGGGCTCTCCCAAGATTTCAGGCATGAAATCTCTCCCAGCCCTACAGGAGATGCTATTGGGGAATGAACTGAGGGTCTTTTGCTTGAAGGCAGATGCTGTACCACTGAGCTACAGCCCTTCCCTGAGACTGCACCATTTCACAAACCAGCTACACAGTACACCAAGCACTGCTCAAAACCGGAAGACCATTTTTTTGTGGTTGATTGGCATTGGGCGGCCTCCGGCTAGCAAGGCTACAGCACCCAGGTCATACTTAAGAGATGGGTTGCGATGCGTGTGCTCTGAGGACTCCCTTCTGTTGTGGAAATGAAACCAGCAGCAATTAATCAGCAACAAAGCCAGGAACAGCTGCTAAACCTGTTGCCTGGAATCCAATCTTTATGAGTGAATTGAAGACCAAAAAAACCAGAAGTTCAGAAACAGTGCAAAAAGCAGAGGCACTTTTTAAAAGGGGACAATGGGAACCTTGGTGTGGGAGAATTCAAAGTGTCTTAGTGCCTAAAAAACAAATGGGGAAGTAACCAAAAGGAATACAAAACATGAATATGCTCATAATAATAATAATATAATGATAATAATATATTATTTATACTCCACCCATCTGGCTGGGCTTCCCCAGCCACTCTGGACGGCTTCCAACAAAATATTAAAATACAGTTATGCATCAGACATTAAAAGCTTCCCTAAACAGGGCTGCCTTCAGATGTCTTCTAAAAGTCTGGTAGTTGTTGTTCTCTTTGACATCTGGTGGGAGGGCGTTCCACAGGGCGGGTGCTACTACTGAGAAGGCCCTCTGCCTGGTTCCCTGTAACTTGGCTTCTCGCAGTGAGGGAACTGCCAGAAGGCCCTCGGCTCTGGACCTCAGTGTCCAGGTAGAACGATGGGGGTGGAGACGCTCCTTCATGCATGAAAGTGGGAGGGTAACATTATGGTCTGTACGTCACAAGCTGCTTAGTGGGGTGGGTACACCTTTGGGAGATCTGTGAACCGTACTGTGTACTGGTTTCTCAGATGCTAACGTATTTGGAAATCCTGGAAGCTCTTTTAATGCACTAACCATGATTGTTTTCTCCGGATTGTCCCTCTCTGTGATGCTTCAAGCGTCTTTAGGGTACTGTTCCATCTCTCCCACACTGTGTTCCTATTCAACTGCAGGATAGTTTGCAACAGAGGACAAAGTGCTCATAACCAATGTCCGCTATCAACCAGGACTCAGCAACATTGGCAAATAAAAAGTGCTTTATATGCGCTGTTTATGCATTCTAACATTGTGACACCAGATGGCGCTTGGGAGTTCCATTTTGGCCAACCTGATTTCTCATACAAAGTTTGCAACATGTTTACCTGAAACGCTTCTGTGATGTGTCCAGATCCAACCACAGTGTTGTTGCAACTGGCGCCCGGAATGACATGTTTTTCGCCTATTTGAAAAACGGGGGGGGGGGGGAGGAGCTGGCAATTGGTGCGCTTTTTAAAATGTTTCCCATAATGAGGGGCGTGCTCAATATGGCAAATGTTCAGGATATGTCCACCACCATTTTCAAATCCCCTGAGAAGTATATGTGGTATCACTGAGCATGCAGTGTGCCCATGCCACATATGAAAATATAAGCTTGATTTCCCACTGAAATATACTCGGCTTCGAGAGTGGATTTCATGCTCTTTATTCAGCTCATAGTGGTGAGGAGGAATGGAAGTTCCCCCACAATATCTGCTTTATGTACATTATTTACACAATGGGCTGCACGTGATTGGCTAATTCCGGGATTCTCCTGTAGGCCAATCAGGTTGTGGATTCACTTCCACCTGGAGCTGGATTGCGTGGCTCCTGTGGACCAATCATACTGCTGCATTGTTCTAGGACCAATCAGACTGCTGCATTTTAGATCCTATTCAACTCAGTACATAACACCCACACAATAGAAAAGGCGTGACAGTGAAGGGAGGAGGTGGGAATTTAAATAAGAAGCAAGCTAATAAGCAATATGGTGCCACCACAAAAAAGGATGCACAGCCGTCAGCGTTTTCTACCTGACTGAAAAGGAGGCATATTTGACCAACAATTCAACTACTGACTCTGGTTTGCAAATAAAAGCTTGTTTATGTGCACAATCAAATAACAGGAGAAAAAAATGAATGATTGTTATTTGGGGAAATGAATTTTGGGGGGAAGCCATAACTGTTAAGGTGCTATAAATGGGCTTTAATAAAGTACAGTTCCCTGCTTTAAATATGCATTAAATGTACTTTAAATGTGCATTAAATGTACTTTAAATGTGTGGTGTGAAAGTAACTGACAAATCCAGAAGAGTAAAACTGTGGAGCAGAAAAACCCTGGGCTGGCATCTTTCCTGAGATGGTGCAAACTTGCTTCTATAATCGTTATTACCTCCTGTG